ACAAAATTTTAAGCAGGCTTGTCAAGAGAAAAGAGAGAGGACCAAAATAAATAAAATCAGAAATTAAGGTGGAGAAGTAACAACTGACTCCACAGAAACACAAGCAATTGTAAGAAAATATTACAAACAACAATATGCCAACAAATTGGACAATCTAGAAAAAATGAATAAATTCCTAGAAATATACAATTTTCCAAAACTGAGTCAGCAAGAATCAGAGAATCTGAATAAACGTACTACAAATAGTAAAATTGAAGCAGTAATCAAAAAGCCCCAACAAACAAAAGCCCTAGACCAGATGGCTTCCTATGTGAATTTTACCAAACATTCCAAGAACTAAGGCCTGTCTTTCTCAAACTTTCAAAAAATTCAAGAGGAGGGAAGACTCCCAAGTTCATTTTATAAGGCCAGCATTATCCTAATTTCAAAACCAGATAAAGACACTACAAAAAATAAAATTATAGGCCAATGTCCCTGATGAATGTAAATGCTAAAATCCTCAACAAAATATTAACAAACCAAATACAGCAGTATATCAAAAAGATCATACAATGCCATCAAGTGAAATTTATTCCTGGAATTCAAGGTTAGTACAGCATTTGCAAATCAATAAATGTGATACATCACATGAACAAAATGCAGGATAAAAACTATAAGGGCATATCAAGAGATGCAGGAAAACATTTAATAAAATTCAGCACCCATTTACAATGAAAACTCTCAGCAAAGTGTGAATAGAGAGAACATACCCAAACATAATAAAAACCATATATGACAAACCCACTACCAGCATCATACTCAATGGACAACAACTACAATTGTTCTCCTTAATCTTGGGAACAAAAGATGGATGTCCTCTTTCACCTCTCTTATTCAACATAGTACTGAAAATTCTAGTCATAAGAATCTGACAAGAAGAAATATAACATATCCAAATTGGAAAAGGAGAACTAAAACTGTCATTATTTTCAGATATCATGATACTATACCTAGAGAATCCCGAAGATTTAACCTAAAAACTACTAGCACTGATAGACAAATTCAGTAGAGTAGCAGGATACAAAATTAATATCCAGACATCAGTTGCATTTTTATGTGCTGACTATGAACTGTCAGAAAAGGAAATTATCCCATTCATAATTGTTTCAAAGAGAATAAAATACCTAGGAATAAATCTAAGTAAGGATGTAAAAGATCTGTACTCAGAAAATTATAATACACTGAAGTGAGAAATTGAAGAAGATACAAATAAATGGAAGCACATACCGTGTTCATGGATAGGAGGAATTAACAACACTAAAATGTCCATACTATCCAAAACAACCTATGCAGCCACAATGCTCCAAATAACAATAGCAGTCTTGAGAAAGAAGAACAAATTTGTAGGAATCAGGCTACCTAATATCAAACTATAATATAAGGCCACAATAATTGAAACAGTGTGCTACTGGCATGAAAACAGACACATAGATCAATGGAATAGAATAGAGTGCCCAGAAATAAACCCACAACTTTATAGTCAATTAATATTTGACAAAGAAACAGGCACATACAATGGACTAAAGACAGTCTATTAAAGAAATGGTGTTTTGAAAATTGAACAGATATGTGCAGAAAAATGAAACTAAACCACCTTATATGCTGCACACAAGAATAAATTCAAAGTGGAATAAAGTCTTAAATGTTAGTCCCAAAACCATTAAAATCCTAGAAGAAAATACAGGAGGTAAAAATATTGGACATTGCTTGTAGCAATATTTTTCTGATATACTGCCTCAGGCAAAGGAAACACAAGAAAAAATAAAGAAATGGGACAACATCAAACTAAAAAATTTTTGTACAGCAAAGGAAACCATCAATCAAATAAGAAGACAACCCACTGAACAGAACATGTCTACTGATATATCTGATAAGGGGTTAATATGAAAAATTTATAAAGAACTTATAAAACTCAACACCAAAACACATACAATCTAATTAAAAAACTGGCAAAGGAATTAAACAGACACTTCTCCAAAAAATGACATACAGATAACCAAGAGGCATATAAAAAGATGCTCAGCATCACTATCAGGGAAATGCAAATTAAAATCACAATGAGATATCAACTCACACCAGTCAAAATGGCTGTCATCAATAAATCAACAAACTACAAGTGTTGGCAAAAATGTGGAGAAAGGGGAACGCTTGTGTACTGTTGGGGGTAATACGGACTGGTACAGCCACTGTGGAAAGCTGTATGGAGTTATCTCAAAAAATTAAAAATGGAACTGCCTTATGACCAAGTGATCCCACTGCTAAGACTATACCCAAAGAAATCTGAGACACTAATTTGAAAGAATATATGCACCCTTATGTTCATTGCAGTAAATATGGTTGTTTACTGCAATATTTACTGCAAGATTTGGAAGCAGCCCAAGTTCCTGTCTCTAGATTAGTGGATTAAAAAGCAGTAGTACATTAACACAATGGAATACTACTTGGCCTTTAAAAACAGAATGAACTCTTATCTTTTGTGACAGAACGGATCAACCTGGAGAGCATTATGCTAAGTGAAATAAGGCAGACAGAGAAAAGACAAATACCATATTTCACTTATATGTGGAATCTAATGAGTAAAACAAACTAAAAAACAAAATAAAAACACACTCATAGATACAGAGAACAGATTGGCAACTGTCAGAGGAGAGCGGGAAAGGAGTTGGGTGAAAAAAGTGAAGGGATTAAAAAAAATCCTCATAGATAGACAACAGTATGGTGATTACCAGAGGAAACCAGGGGTGTGGGTATGTAGGGGAGAGTAGAAGAGGGATAAGTGGTGATGGAAGGAAACTTGACTTGGGGTGATGAACATAAAACACAATATGCAGACAACATACAATAGAATTTTACCCATGAAACCATATAAATTATAAAATTATTATTAATTAGGGCTGCCCTAATAAATTCAATAAAAAATAATAAAACCAGCAGTACTCATTGACTCTGCAACTACAAGCTTCTGGTATTTAGCCTTTGAACATCACAGATACAATTATAGTGTTTTGAATGAATCATCACCTGACTTGTACAAGTTGTTTATATGACTTGTGGATTTAACATTAATTCTTAGGTGGTGTATTAAGTAGTCAAGCTTCTGAAAGCCAGAGTTCAGATTTTCTGCTGAGATGATTACAAACAAAAACCTATTATATAATTAGCATACTTCATGAAAAAATGATTAAAAGCCTTAGGTTAAGATAAAAATATTAAAGACCTTTCTGTAAACACTGATCTTATCAGTTCTACAAACTTAGAAGAATTTGTCACAGACAGTTTTTGGAGGAGTCTTTGCATGTTTATTTGCATTATAGAAAAGTTTGTTTCCTTCTTACACTTTTTAAATTATTTCTTTATTTTTCACAATAACTACTATTCTTTGGGCTCTATCAATCAGGACTTGTGCCTTTGTAACAGCTGACCAACTCATACAGATATGTTATTTTTTTTTAAGATTGTGTTTATTTATTTTTAGAGAGAGGGAAAAGGAGGAAGAGAGGGAGAGAAACATCAATGTGTGGTTGTCTTTTCCATGCACCCTACCAGGAATCTGGCCTGCAACCCAGGCATATGCCCTGACTGGGAATTGAACCAGCAACCCTTTGATTTACAGACCATCACTCAATCCACTGAGCTACACCAGCCAGGGCCAGATATATTCTTTAAAATTGGTGAGGGTACTTGCAGATAACAAAATACCAATAGAGGCAGCATCTTACAGGAGTTGGTTGAGGCTGAGAAAGCAAGAAATGTGAGTCAAGAGAGGCTCCAAGGAACACAGGAGACATGAACTAGATCTTGTGGAATAGACAGGCTTTGTTGAGGTGGCATTGGGAAAAGCCATTGAGAAGAAAAAGGATAATTAATAGCCTTGAGAAATTGCTACCAAAGGCTTGCTGGTGATACGTCAGGACAATTGATAGAGTCTAACAAGAGCAGAAACAAGAATCTACAACTGGATTTTCACCTTTTTTCTCTCATTTGTCCTGGTCCTAATTCTAACTAAGCTTCTAGGTACAAGTACTAAAAAGCTGTCAAAATAAAGGAGAGATGGAGAAGATGAAGCTGAGGACTACAATTTATTAATTTTTGATAAGTCCATTTTTTGAGGCCTAGTGTCAAGAGAGAACCAACTGTTAAGTTCAGTATGCTCTGCTGTAAGCAAAATAATAACCAATAAGGTAAATATTATTGTCTTTCACTTTAAAGATCAGATAAAAGAAGGTCAGGAAGTTTGAAACACTTAAAGACTTATGATAACCCTATTAGATCACCATTCCCTTGTTCCTATCTCAGAAAGTTTAAATGGTTTGTCAACAAAATCACAGCTCAGTGAAGGCTGAGACAAATTGAGCAAAGGTCTCCTGATTCCTAGTCCTTTACTCATTTTCCTCCACACTCACTGCCTCACCCAATTGCAAGTTCACATCTTCCTCCTTTCCTTATCCAGGAGAAAGATGCCCCTGAAGGGGTTGTGTTTGCATTTTACAGATTCCATTTCACTAATTTAAAATGCTGAGGTGGTCAGCTTGTATCACCTCTGTTTCCCAGTAATGTTTAACCTTAAGTTTAAAAAAAATCTGGAGATAAAAGAACATGTTATCTGGCGAGTCCGTTCCATATCCACCCTCCCTCAGTTTGTTATTAATTTCAGAACACATCTGAATTCCTTCTCTGTGGCATATGCTTGAGTAAAGGACAGAGAGTTCCTGGTCAGGGTTAAATTTCAATTTCTCATCTGTCGGTATCAATACGGTTACTAGATTTTTCTCTGTAGTCAACTTTTGAGATCTTCTCTGAGTACAACTTGGTGTCTGAAGATCCATAAAGTGCATCTGGTCATCATTCTCTTCACAGAATCAGTCTGCTCTCTGGGCAAAACATCTGCTGTAGTGAGCTTTGTGTTTAGAACCAACTTTTCCCTGAGGCCTGGTTGAAAGCAATTATCTGGTGCCATACTTCCCAGCATGGAGGTGAAGAGCTTTGTCGTTTGGGATTACCTCGTATTTGTAGCCCTCATTATTGTTTCTTCTGGAATCGGGGTGTTCTTTGCTGTTAAGGAGAGAAAGAAGGCAACTTCAAAAGAGTTCCTTGTAGGGGGAAGACAAATGAACTTTGGTCCTGTAGCGTTGTCTCTGACAGCCAGCTTCATGTCAGCTGTCACTGTCCTGGGGACCCCTTCAGATGTCTACCGCTTTGGGGCCTCCTTTGTGCTTTTCGCCATTGCCTATACTTTTGTCATCATCTTGACATCAGAGCTCTTTTTGCCCGTGTTCTACCAATCCGGTATCACCAGCACTTATGAGGTAAGCCAACTAACTATGCCCTTATTCTTTATTTTGGGAGGAGTTGGTATTCTCTCTCCATCTGAACAATTTTTTTGTTATTCTTGCTGTTCTCCTCTAACAATACGTATCCCCCTTTTAAAAAGAAATATTTATTTATTTGTTTATTTATTTATTTATAGGCAGCGGGGACTGAAGGGAGAAAAAGAGGGAGAGAAATGTCAATATGTGGTTGCTTTTCTGGGGACCTATCCTGCAATCCAGGCATGTGCCCTAGGCTGGGAACTGAACTGGTGACCCTTTGGTTTGCAGGCCGGCACTCATTCCACTTAGCCACACCAACCAGGACTAATAACACACATCTTGATGATAACATGTGGAAATTGAAAATTACTCACTTATTTTAAAGAAAATATATTACAATATTATTGGGGCAAGCTTAAGCTTTTGATACAGACATACCTATTCTTTCATCTGTGGAACAAAATAGAGTCAACTCCATAAGGCTATTTCAGTGATACAATGAGAACCTGTATGTAAACAACTAAGGCATTGCCTAACTTTAAGAGATTCTCAATAAAAGAGATCCTGAAGTTATTATTTGCATTATTATTAGCATCATTCTGAAATTCATGCAGAACATATACCATGAATATTGTCATTTTCCAGCTAAGAAAACAGAGATAGTATAGGTGAATGATTTAGTCAAGATTGCATAGTGAGTAAAGCCTTGCTAGGACCTACTTTTGTCTGTATTTCTTTCCATTAGATAGTAGAGTTGAGTACTCCAATACAAATTATTACTATGCTCCAGTTTTTAATGGGGGAAATGGTAATGTTTTCAAAAAATTAAAAGCTATTTTAGTAGGAAAGAATTGCTAAACAAAACAAACATGGCAATTATTTTAATGAAAAGAAAATGAGGTAGTAGTGTTTTGACTTTGCAATAACTCTGAAGAAAAATATCAAGTTGAAAATTGGATATGTAAGTCCAATATTTAAATGTGATTAATAAAGTTTCTATGGAAAAGGCATTTATTTTCCTTATCAAACATCATCCTTACTAAGTCAGAGCAGAGAACTCTTAACAGACCTTTCTTTTTTTCTTTGTATTTCTGTAAGGCTAAATGATTATAAAGGATTACTCTAGACCTCAAAGGCATTCAGGCAATTGTGCACTGCCTAGAAGGTTTTAAAACTTTGATTCCGCAGATGATTATATTCCTAAAATCCAACCTTAACCTCCCCTCCCACTAAAAGAAGGTAATCAGGACTGGGTCATACAACAGTCACTACCTAGGATATAGATTCAAGAGAGAATGACTAAATTTATGCTTAGTCCTAAAATATATTTACAGATACAACCATTCATTAGAGTATTTCTGAAAGTGTAAATATATTCTAGTTCTTTTTTCCGTTCATCTATTAAATTTGGACTCCCAAAGACATTGCTAGCATTTTAGAAAGAATTGTCTGTATGTCAGTGTGTGTGTGTGTGTGTGTGTGTGTGTGTGTGTGTGTGTGTGAGAGAGAGAGAGAGAGAGAGAGAGAGAGAGAGAGAGAACTTAGAGTCAGAAAATACAAATTCAATATCTAAATCCATTGTTTAACAGCAGGATGCCGTTGTATGTTACTTAGCTCTTATCAACTCCAGTTTCCACATAGAAAATAACAGCCATCTTTTATGAAGCTTTTGTTAAGTGTAAAACAGCTTTTCCATTGTTAAAACATTCCCAAATGTGAAAATCATTTGTACCACTAACCATTCCTTCACAAATATTCGTTAAGCACTTACTATGTCCTGGGCACACCACTGGAGATAAAACATTGAACCAAATATGAAACTGTGAAGATCTGAGACTCTGTTTTAATTATTAAATTAGTACAAAAATGGAAAAAAACATTTACAATATCAGTGCCTCCATGGGACAAATATAGGTTGAAGAAGTTAATTACCTCTTGTTTTAAAATACATCCATATATGGCCGTGGCTGGTGCGGCTCAGTGAATTGAACACCAGCCTATGAACCAAAGCGCTGTGGGTTCAATTCCCAGTCTAGGGCACATGCCTGGGTTGTGGGCCAGGTCCCCAGTAGAAGGCATGCCAGAGGCAACCACATATTAATGTTTCTCTCTCTCTCTTTCTCCTTCCCTTCCCCTCTATAAATATAAACAAATAAAATTTTTTAAAATAAAATAAAATATATCTATATATGGGAACGCCTATAGCATTATATGAATTTAACTTACAAAATTTATTGACCTCCACATATTTTTAAATTTTCCATATCTTAATAATAAGAAGTGAAGGTTATATGTAAAGTGCATATGAGGTGATTTTGGAATTGACTCTTACTCTATGAAATTTGGCAATATGGTATGGGGGTTAAAAGTACAGACTCTAGACTCAGTCTATTTGGCTTTGAATGCTAGCTCTGCCACTTGCTAGCTGTGTGACTTTGGGAAAATTATTTTACTTCTCTGTACTTAATTCTTACATATGTAAAATAGTGATAATAAAATCACCTATCTCAAAGGATGTCTCTGTGGAGTAAATGTGGCATCACTTGCAAATGTTTTTTATTATTTTTTATTTTTCAGTTACAGTTGACATTCATATGCAAATACTTTTAATACAGCTTGACAAACAGTAAATCCCTCGTAAGAGTTTTGTATTATTATTATTGTCTATCTGTTGAAGCTTGAATTTGTTTCTTTGTTCATCTTCCATTCTCTGTTCCCTATCCATAAATCTTTCCAGGATTTTTTTTAAGTAATAAAGACCAAAAAGGGTATAGTCTGTTTCCCCAACCCTTGAATCTGGACAGGCCTTGTGATTTGTTTTGACCAACAGAATGCGGCAGAAATGATGTGTGGAGCTTAGGCCTCATTAGGCTCAGAGCTTCTGCCTTTGCTTTCCTGGAATGCTGTGTTGATACAGCTATGTCAGGAAGCTGTTCCTGCTGGTCTAGCTTCTGGATCATGAATGGAAACACAGAGGAAAACAAAGACACCCTAGCCAACAGCCATCACCAACTACCAGATGTGTTAATGAGGCCACCTTAGACCTTCTCACCCAGCTCATCTTCCAGTTGATTTCAACCCCACAAAAGCCCAGGGAAACAAGCAGAGGAATCACTCAGCTGATGTTGAAAATTATGAGAAATAATAAATCCTTGATTTTTAAGCCCATGAGTTTTGGGGTGGGATTTACACAGCAATAGCAGTGGGATTTCAAGACTAAGATATGCCATCTGTACTATTTTGCCACTATTCTGTCCCATGTCAAAACATAAAGAATTGTTCTCACCTTCAAGTTATATATTAGGCTCAGCTTATTTGCAATATCGTGCATTTGCATTATCTTCACTTAGTTTATAATTAGCCTCATCATGCTGTCTCTACTTCAGTTGATGTTATTCTCTTTTTTTATCATACACTGATAAATCCAGTTTATTATTTATTCTTAACACTAGCTTAGAGGCTAGTATTTACCTGCTCTCTCATTTTTCTTGGACTTGTGCAATTAAAAGGCTTCTAAACTCCATACTTCACTTTAATTCAAACTTTCTTATTGTAATTACATAGAATATTACTTCTGTATATCTTTTTAATGGTGGTTTTAAGCATTATAGACTACTTTTTTAGTAAGTTTCTTTCCTTTTACTTCTCCATTAAGTTACATTTGTGATATCATAACAGTTGTATTTAAATTTTGAGAAATTAGATGTATAGGTGTAAGATATCATTTCTGAATCTTATTTTAGCATAGTAAGTGATGTTACAAAATGTTTGTTGTGAAATATATATTTAGGGTCTGAACCAATTTTATGAAGTCTTTTAGGCCACTGTAAGGATTGGCTCATACTCTCTGTGAAATGGATCATTACAGTGTTTAGACAGAGGAATAAAATGATATGATTTGTATTTTGAGTATTATACTAACTGCATGCTGAGAATGATTATAGAGTTTTGACTGCTGAAGCAGGGGTTCTAATTAAGAAGCTATTGCTGTAATCTAGGCAATAGGTAATGGTATTTTAGTGGCAACAGAGGAGATGGTGCGAGCAAATATGAATGTTTTGAAAGTTGAGGGTAGGCACCAGGATTATTTTATGAACTAGATGTGAGCAGTTGAGAGAAAGTGAGGAGTAAAGAATGGCCCAATGTTATTTGGGCTTGAACCAAATGAAAAGTGGTCTGGTTATTTCGTGAGATGGAAAAGAATGTGTCTAGATCAGGCTTGGGGTTTTGAAAATACTTTAACATCATGACCTGTGAAGCCCAGAAACATGCAGTTTTTCCATTGAACTTTCATTTTACTTTGATTGTAGTAATAGTGACAGGCACACTGAAGATGACCATTGAACATACTGAATGATTTAATATGTTCTTTCAGATGTAAAATTATGCAGTTTGAGTAATCTCTCTTATTTCATGGATCAGAAACCAGAATTTTAGATCTAAGAGTGAGATAGTGGCAAAGCTCACACTAGAATTCAAGGACTCTTATTTCTGATCGTTTTTTTCAATCTATCTTTTTCTCCATACTCTCTTTCTAGTTTGTCTTAACATAAGAAAAGTATGGCTTAAATAATAGATGGTTTAGAATATGAAGCTTCCATGATACAGAATAATTAAAGGCTTTGAGAAAAAGAGGGATGTAAACAGAGTTCCATTTAGGAGAATCAATACAACCTGATGTGTGGTCGATAAAATGGGTGGGAAGGATTGGAATTCAGGAGATCAGTTAGGTAGCTACTGCAGTAATTGAGGAAAGGTAAAATAAAGGCCTGAAGTAAATTTTGGAGCAGTGGGAATATTAAAGGAAATAATGATTTTGGTATATCCAGTAGAAAAACCCTGAGAAAAAGCCTGGACTTTTTTTTCCCTAGTAACCTGTTTATCTTTCCTGACCATCATGAGAAGCTTGAGCAAGAATTGAATTTTAATATATCTTTGACTTTAGACAGTCCATATTTTTGTCCTATTCTGCCAATTAAATAGCATAAAATCACATTATAAATCCAAAGCACTAAACTCAAAGGGATACCAAAAAAATGAGACCACCTTAGCAGCTGCACGTGAAACTCACTGGCTTTTTGCATGTTGTTTATTCTTTATAGTATTTACAACTACGATTCAACAAACCAGTTCGTTATGCAGCAACGATCATCTACCTTGTGCAGACGGTAAGGTTAAGGGCAGCTGCAGATGTGGAATTGTGGGCTGACAAGATACAGGTTGTTTATTTCAGGAATAGATAATCCAATTAAAAGAGAGACAATACTAAGAAGAAACTCCATTCTTTCAAGGATAGCACTTTCAAGATATATGATTACATCAAGAGTTGCCCATTGTATATACCCCATATATACACACAAATAATAAATCAGTGCATATCATAAACCACAGAAAAAGGCATTTGCTTAAAAGTCATCTGAACTCTTAATTAACCTGTACAAGTTGCTTTGGATATAAAGATATTAAATGGTCTGTTACCAGCAACACTGAAAGGAAAAGAAATCAACAGAGACGAGGGAAGGAGGGAGGGGGGCGGAGAAAAGGAAGGGAAGGGGAAAGTCAAGGAACATATAGCAAGGACTCATGGACAAAACCAAAGGGGAAGAGCTGAGGGAGGGAAGGAGGGAGGGGGCAAGGGAAAGAGGTTGGGGGGAGGCAGAGACAAATGTATTTAAAAAAAAATAAAATAAAAGAGAGCTGGAAAAAAAAGACTAATTTTTTTTAGATATTATTTATTTATTTTCAGGGAGAGGGAGAGAAAAATTGATGTGCAAGAGAGAAATATAAGTCAATTGCCTCTCTCATGCCCACAAATGGGGACCTGGCCCACAACCCAGGCATGTACCCTGACAGGGAATCAAACCAGAGACCTTTTGGTTCACAGGCTGGTGCTCAATCCACTGAGCGCCACCAGCCAGGGCAAGCCTCTTTTTTTTTAAGAAACATTACTATGATATCATTTCACACCTAACAACTAGTATCAATTCCTTAATATCATAAAATATGCAGTATAACTTTTGGGGGGACAGTCTGTTTGAATAGGAATCCAAATAAAATCCATACATTTTGATTGTAAAAAAATAAAAATAAAAAAAATAAATGGTCTGTTAACTGATTTCTTCTTTAAACTAGCTGAGTTGAACCAGAACGACTCATTTTGTTGAAACTCATTTGAAGGCAACATTTCCAAGCCAATACTCCCACTTTTTTGAGCACCTCTCCTCCCTCCCAGGCGCTGGGGTGCCTTCACATAGCCTCCAGCTTGCCTGTGTCACCCTGTTGGTGCACTTCCACTATTCAGGAAGTACTTTCTGCTGAAAGATACCTTTCTTCCTGTTACTTAGTCAAAACTCCCACTCAGGTACTGAAGGATTTGAGGGAGACTAAAGGAGGAAAACAATGCTCCTTGACCTGTTCATAGGTATTTTGCCTTTTAAAACCCTCACATACATCTCTAAATGGTGAAATTTCATTTAAAAATGGAATACAACTGCACCCACTTCCCTCAGTGTATGGTTGCCACTCTCGGAGTTAGAAGGTGTACTGTTGTGTGGATGATCCATGTTGCAGTCTTCTCTGCATGGTACTTCCTTCTCATGGACGCTTTCCATCTTCACTATAACATCCATATTTTACAAACCTCTGAAACACATTTGTGTCATTGTGATGTGTGGATGGGGGAGGGAGGGAGAGGAATTAAAAACTTGAAGGCCATTTTTCTATTCTTTGGAAATACACAAAATCTAGCCATAAAACCTCAAAATTTGCAGCCTTCTTAAAAGCCCAACCCTATTAGGTATTCCTCTATCTAATCCTTATATCCCTTATTCAAACTAGTTACAGTGCTCAACAACTTCAAAATGAGAGTGGATGGGAATGAAATGCTTAGCAAACAAGTTGAAGGAAATATATCTCTAAGGTCAATAAAGAACTTTCTGGGTAGCTTCTCTTTCCATGTCACTTTTCTCAATGTTCACCTAATTATTGTTTCTCCATCAGATTCTCTACACAGGAGTGGTGGTGTATGCTCCCGCCCTAGCGCTCAATCAGGGTAAGTTTTTGACATTTCCTTGGGTGCACACCACCATTTTTATGCCTGCCTTCTTGCCTTGAGAAATACACATAAAGCATCTTGGGGAGACATTCTTGTGTTTAGGGTGCTTTGAATTACTGTAGGAGTCACAATATAAAGCTCTCAAAATTGAACATTGAAAGTAATGAAACGATTGATTTTGCTCACATGGTTCCAAACACACGATTTAATTGTTATTTGTTTTGTTTTTCTAATCACTGTAATGATGGCAGTTTTGGTACTGTATAGGCACAACAATTAAGCAAGGTCATGTATAATAGATGGTGATTTCTCAGTGATTTCATAATGTAGATAATCTGAGTACAATAATAAAATGTACTTGAAGTAATTACTTCAAATTTTATATTTGACCCCTTTGAGAAAATAGAATCCTGGAAACAAAAAGGGAAAAAATGAAATAAATTCCATAATGATACCTATAAGATGGAAAGTTCTCAATATTCAATTTAACTAGGGTATCTACTTATATTGAGAAATATCAGTTCATTGCTGATGCTTAATTGGTTTCAAAGTACTCACACTAACTTTGTTAAGGAAAAACAAATACAAATAATTGGTGCAGATTGGAAGCTCCAGAACTTTAGGAGGAAAAATTTGGCTTTTAACATTATATGAAATTTATTAACTAGGTTGAGGTGTAACAGTGTAATAAAATAATCTTTATCAGAGGTGAGAAAAATGGAGCTTAAGAGAAAACTCTAATTTGATTTTCATTTGCCCACAAAGAACACTGACCAAAATGTTGGTTTTTTCCTTGTTAAGCTTGCTGTTTTGCTTTTCTCAGAGAAATTTCTTTCAACATTTTTTTCTCATTTTTTAGTGACTGGGTTTGATATCTGGGGTTCTGTGTTTACAACAGGAATCGTTTGCACATTCTACTGTACTCTGGTATGTACCCAGCTGTGAAAAAGGATTTAGCACTATCTCCTAATACAGGATAAGGGGCAAATCTCCAGCAGCAGGGCTTCTAAATATAGCAGAAATTGCTATTCCAAAATTAAACAGAAGTATGCTGGCTTATCTGTTGCAGTTTCCTATGGAAGGTGCTGTTGTTTTATTTAAAATTATTTTTGGTATCAACCATTAGTGGAATTTAAACTCTGAGCTCATTTGAGAAAGCCACAGCTAAGAGAAGATTTAATGAATAAAATACTTCCTTGCTCAGAGGATTAGGTGACCCAATGCAACTTCTGAGGAAAAAAAGTTGTTCATTAATAGTGATTATACATGATGAATAGACTTTATACTTCCCTAATGGTTGAAAAATACAAAACGCATACATGAATAATCAGGGATGGCTGGTATTTTGTCCTGAGCATTCCACAGCTTGCTTTTGTCTCTTTTTTATGGATTTGGATTGTACACATGCTCAATCTTTAACCAAGGAACCTGGGTGGTATTAACAACGTGCTTATATAATTGCTACAATTAGTTCAGTTTAACAAACATTCATTGAGCACCTCTTATTTGCCATGCCATGCAATGGGAATCTCTATTCTTCTGAGTCATTGGCACCATATACAATAAAAAGGCTATACGCAACCAGTTAAGAATATGGCAGTTGTTCCCAGATAGTTGGATTCTCTTCCCTCCTTTATATAGACAAATAAATTACTTGATATATTATCATGTAGCAGATCTACATGTATTTTTGCTTTATGTGCATGCTACATACTCTTTTTAACATATGTCATGAGAATACATAACTAAAAAATGCTCTTACCTCTCTTTTTCGTACTTGCAATTCCCACCATTTGTTTACACTATGAGGTGTTATCTTAATTTGTTTCCATACTGTTCTCACTACCATACCATTCTATTCCAGGCACACATCTCCTCCCTAGGTTAAAAATAGGCTCCTGCTCCTTAAGCATCTGGCCTTATCTGAGATTAGTTGTCCAGACATACCTGGCCCTGCATTGATCAAGGAGATACATACATTGCTGCGGATGCTAAAGGCTGACTTCTCAGCAGCAATAGGGAAAGACAGAAAGAGTGGAATAACATCTTCACAATGTTGAAGTAAAACAATTGTCAACCTATAACTGTGTATTTAGCAAAACAATATTTCAGGAACTGCCCCTCAAGAACCAAGAGAACTTACCACTAAAATATCTTCACCTGAGAAAAACCTAGAGGAGGTGCTGTGGGAAGAGGAAAAATTATCCAGTTTTATATTTTAAAAAAGTAATAATATAATAAAGTAGTAAACATTTAGAAAGTCTAGCCAAACAATTTTTGGTACTTAATGATAATAATAATTTGAGTACAGTGTAATTTATCTAGTATCAAATTACATATTACATGTAAAAATATATAATATTAAAAATATAATAACTGTTATTATTATATGTAATTTGGGGATTAAGAAAAAGAATAATCCTCAACTAGACAACAATAGTATGTAAAACCAGGAAGAGATTAATCAAGCTTAAATATTTTATGATCCTTGAATTGACATTTTTTAAATTTAGACTCTAAATGTAAAATTTCAAGGGGGCTCATTTAAATGAAATGGTCAAAGTGAGAAAAATAGAATTAAAACAAAATAAGTAAAACCTCAGCTGCTTTAAGCAAGGGGAGGGGGAAGCATAGAGAAAATAGAACAAATAGAAACCAAAAAGAAACATGTCAGAAACAAGTCCAGATATTTTAATAATCACAAGATAAAATGAACTAACTCTACTACTTCTTAATTGCTTTCAGTGCTTCCCTCCTTCCTGCTTGCCTCTGACATATTAATCTTGAAACATCAATTTCTTCAAGCCACTTGACTGGCCTAATTCTCTTCTTACTTCCCATTGTTTATGGGATAAAGTATAAGCTCCTCAGCCTAGTGCTGAAAACCTTTCTTTATCTGAATAAATCCACCCATCTAATCTCTTCCCACCACACCCATTCCTTCTCTCTGCTCTCTAGCCATGTTAGAGGATCCCCTCTCTCACCAAATGGTGGCTTATTTGTCTAACACTTTTACTCAAATCTGCTGGAGTCTCTTTACACTGATCATCCCGTGGCTGCCTAGCCTAAAACAAACAGTGGAAAGAGATTAAAAAAATAAGAAGTGATTCTTGCCATCTAAGGGTATGCAATCTAGTAAACACTGGATCTCAGATAACACTGACTAAATATCTAAGTGACACTATGGCACAGTTCTGATCAGTGGTATATGTGGGTGTGTGTCTTGCTATGTGAAGGAATCATAGAGTCAGAGCAATTTTCATGGTGGCTATAATCTATCTTTTAAGGCATATTGGATAAAGTGGTTTGTTCTCTTGCCTCATGTCTAGCTGAAGTTCAGGTTTATGCATATTTTTGCATAACCAATGTAAAATAGTCTCTGAAAACCAAAGGGTTTGACATTTGGTCTTCATATCACTAAATCTGATGCTGAGATTTCGGTTTGGAAGTTTTCGTGTCTTTAAAGGAAATCGAAATGCCACTATTTGGGAGGTGGGCATTAAGAAATTGACTATTTCTCAAATCAGGATTTGAAGAGCATATACAAATCTGGTGCTTCTGGCAGGAACTTCAATACATGGTTTTTTAATTGCATTTTAATTTTAATTTAAAAAGAAATGATGGGACAACCCCAATATCATCTTTCTTCTTAAGGTGAAGATGAAGCCTGTCATCTTTTCACAGTTCTTGACACTCTGGAGGAGTAACAGGGGAAGATAATTCTATTTTTTATTGTTAAAAATACCATGTCCTTTCATTCTCATAGTGCTATTCATTTTCAAAGCTCTTTTAAATACATCACTTCATTTAATTTCTTGCAATTTGCTCATTCCACCTTCACCAAAGTCCTAGGGGATTTTTATATGTGGGTTATAACCTGGTTTACAACCTGGGTTATTCTATCCGTCTCTTTCTTCCCTGTCTCCTTCCTGTCCACATGTTCTCAACTAGAACTGTACATTAGAATCATTTAGGGAATTATCAAAAAACACTGAGGACTGATTCCTATCCCAGACCTCAATTTATTCAGAATCTTCAGGAATGGGGCTCAGATATTGTTTTCTTTTTTGTTTGTTGGTTGGTTTTCAGATTCTCCCAGTGATTTTAACCACCTCCATAACCTCCTTTCCAATCACGCTATCCTGTGTTGTACTGTTAGTTCTGTTTTCCTGAAACTCTTGTTTGCTCACCCCACTATTTGACCATCCTCTAGCTCTTACAAGTTCTTTCTCCATGAATATCCAGAATGTATCATACCTTCCTAGTTTTTTTCTTCTTTCATTCACTGTCACTAGTTTTACAAAAAGAAATCTCAGGTTGCACAAGTCAGGCTTGAGTGATTATCTTCACTTCCTCCTCACTTGTATTCAATTAATCACAACCTATGTTGATTTTACCTCCCAAATATCTTTCAAATGTATCAGCTTCTTTCTATCCCTGCCTTCCTTCAGCTTGTTATCCTTCTGCATGTGGACTACTGAAATAAACCCTGGATTGGTCTCTCAACTCCCTTTCTTCTATGTGTTGTCCACACAACCATCACTGAAAGTATTGTGGAACAAACAAAAGTTTTCACCATATAGATCTATTTAATGCTTTCTTACTGCTCTTAAGAAATTGTTTAGGTGGCCTTGTCATAATCTGTGTGTTCCTGATTCTAGCAAATTCAGCAGCCTCCCTATGAGCACTTCGTATAGTCCTCAATCTGTACATTCTAGCTTTCTTTTACTTCCTCAGGGAAGCCACGCTTCTTCTTGCTGCTCCCCTCTCCTCTGTGTCTTCTGTCCCTGGCAAAGTCCTTTTCACTCTTCAGAACTTGGCTCCAGTGACACTATCTTAAGACCAGGTCTGGACTCCATAGTATATGTGTCAATAGCAACCTGTCTTTTTTAGTTGCACTTTCCACAGTTTTAATATATTATTATGTAGTATCTGCTTCTGCCACTGGATTATAAACACTGAAATTAAGGAAGAAATCTGTTGCTTTTAGTCCCATGCTTAACATCATGCATGGCACATAAAATGTGCTCAGCAACTGTGCTGAAAACAAAAGAAGGAAGGGAGGATGAAAAGTGAAAGAAAAAAGGAAGGGAGGGAGGGAGGAAACATAGATCATATTAGCAGAGCTGGAAGATGTGCAGGCTTCATTTTTAGAACTCACATCCATTCTCTCCATTTCAGGGAGGACTGAAAGCAGTCGTGTGGACAGATGCATTTCAAATGGTTGTTATGATTGTGGGCTTCTTAACAGTTCTCATTCGAGGATCAGCTCAAGCTGGTGGATTTCACAGGGTATTAGAGCAATCAACAAATGGATCTCGACTAAATATTTTTGAGTATGCCTAATGCTACTTTTCCATGTTTTATAAAGATTTAGCTGTGTGACCTAATCCCCTAAAAAATAATCTTTGTTCGCTCACTTCTCTCACCTCATAGCTTTGATATAGATCCTCACAGGCGACACACATTTTGGACAATCTCAGTGGGAGGAACTTTTACATGGCTTGGGGTCTACGGAGTTAATCAGTCAACCATCCAGCGATGCATTTCTTGCAAAACGCAAAAGCATGCCAAGCTGTAAGTTATTCATAAAAAATATTTCTGTTTTCTCTCCTCTTATTGGGCACTTATTAATGCTTCCTAATGCTCTGTGTATAAAAGAAACAGAGAAACAGAAAGATTCATTTAACCTTGCCAACAATACTTGAGGCAGGTATTACTACTCCCGTCTCACCAAGGAATTGTTGGAGCTGGAGTCTGAACATAACAGTCTGCTTGCCTTTCTTCTCCATCACTTCCTGCCTCTCATTATTGAGAAATGACAGGGTTATATTAGGTGCTGTGTATAGCAATGCAGAGGTAAAAAGCATATATTGCTTAGTTTCTGTGATGAGATGAACTTTGTCACTAATTTGACTCAGCATATGGTTTCTTCAACTACTCTTTTTCTTTTGAGGACTATACCTTTAAATTTTTCAGTGAGAGATTTAAAAAGAAGAAAGCCCAAGATAATGAGGCAGATCCTAATGGGGCTTTAGGGGCTCCAAGTCTTGCCAGGAAATCCTTGCCAGGCCTGCGTACTCTGAAGGACTCCAGCAGGCAAACAGCTTGTCAATCATTTTCCAAGCCCTGCCAGTCAGCCCACACTCTCGAATGGCGACCAAGAGAAAGGATGAGCTCTTCGGCAGAACTGGTGGAGATAAACTAGCATGTCATCTAAAATGAGCATTTTATCCTTATTGCTGCTGTCCAAAGCTCCAGTCTCCCCTGACTTCTTGGGATGCCTTCAACTTTTCCTAGAGTGAGAAACAATCACTATGAATATTTCCACAACTGATTTTAAAGTACTTTCAATGCACAGCTTCTTATTTAAACAGAAAAAAAAATAGAGCTGCCTGGATATGGTTCACCAATTTGTAACCTAAATTCTAAAAGTGAAAATATCACCTTATAAATTTCACACATTCCCAGGAAGAAGTGAAAGCATTACTAGTGTTTCAGCAGTTCACTAGTAACATATTCATATCCTATGGTAATGAATAATATTAACAAACTCTTTACACACATGGTCATCACTTTATCAAACAGCTGAAGTAATGAAAATGTATTAACATCAAATATATCTTTGACATTAAAATTCATATAAAATTAAAATTCATTTAAAATTCTACTTTAAATTAAACTGGAGTTGAAGGTATGATTTATATACCAGGACTGTTGGTAGGAAATGGCGCTGGAAGGGTAGGAGGAGCTGATACAGGTTATCAGATCCCTTCCCAGTACCATTCCCACTCCTTGCTAAGATGAGCACATCCACACACGCCCACTTATTTTCTATTACCATTGCCTCTGTTTATTTTCTTCATATTTCTTATAACTTAGATGTGAATCTAAGACATTCTCATTCATTTAGTTCATTTCAGAGATTATCATTTGGCTCCAATCCAACAATATCACCTCCATGAACGTGGGTTCTGTGTTCTCACTGCTTGCTCTACCCCAAGTACTCAGAAGAAGTGGGTACAGAGAGTTTCCCTGAATGGAGAAATAGTAAAAGCACAAGCAATGCAATTCATAGGTATTGATCACTTTATGTATCAAGTGTATCCCCAAAAAACTACCTCTAATTCAAAACCCTCTAAACAAAAACAAATAAAACTCAAAGGTAAACATTGTTAGACTATTCCCAAGAAAGTAACTTTTGAGATAAGACCCTTTGCTAACGTAAATAATATAAAATAAAAACTTACCAATGGAATAATTATTTAACATATTTGCTTTATAAATAAATACTTAGATATAAAGGCTTCCTGAAAGTCAGGTATATCTATTCAGCACAGGCTTTAGGGGACTTTGAAATGGATGTGAGTCCTTTCCAGTTGAATGTGGATGCACGTCATTTCCTTTCAAATAATGACTGGATCCAAGAAAATGCCCGGTGCTGCTCTCCTGACCCCCTGCAGTGACAGCCAGAATGAGATTTTTTATTCTCTCAGACATTGTAAAGCTACCCCCTTTCAAGTCTATTTTCAGATTAAGAAAATGAATAATATTTTTATTTTCACATGACAGTAACAAATACAAAATAACCATAGGCTACTGAAAAATTACATGCATAATTATAATTAAGTATATCTTTGTGTTATAGAACAAAACAAATTGCTCCAAAAAAAAAAAATGGGTAAAATGACCTTAAGGTTTTTCATAGTTTTTTGTCTTTTTAAAAAAAACCCTCAACTTCAAATTTCATATGAATCAATCACCAGAGTATGTATTTCCAAAACTTACCTATGTCTGCATTCATCTTCTTATTCCTCTGGAAAAAAAAAAATATGTTAAAATGGAAGTAGGCTTTCTGACAGATTCCTGAATTGAATGTGTGACGGGGGCAGAGGGGAGCATCACTTAAAGTTATAGGTGAGTGACTGTTATGTGAAATTTCATCAAGAAAATAGATCTCATACCACACAGTGAGGCTTTGTAGCAAAACTCCCAATTTCACAAGAAAATCCGTCAAAATCTACTTCAATCAAATTTTGTAATCAGTCTAAAAATATAATGTTCTCAAACAAACAAGAGCAAAAGTATAAAGTGTAACAATTCCTGAAGACTGTAAAATTTTAATTTTAAAGCAAAAAGACCCAACAATTGTTTTCCCTTAAGCCTTTGTAACATGGCATAGAGGCTACCAAGCAACCCATGTGTTTTTTTCTAGAGCCTTGTACTTCAATTTGTTGGGTCTCTGGATCATTCTGGTGTGTGCTGTCCTCTCTGGCTTAATCATGTACAGCTACTTCAAGGACTGTGACCCTTGGACTTCCGGCATTATCTCGGCGCCAGACCAGGTACGCGTTCTCTTGGGATCCCTGGGAATGGCTGAAATGAGCGTGCTTCTAGCCATGGATGGGTAATGCGGGGTCTTCCTCGTTTCTACCTGAACCCACAGCCCCTTTCCATGCCCCAAAGACTACCTTTCTTTCCTCTCCTCCTGGGTGATACCACCACACCTTAGGTTCTAATATTAGGGCATGTTTAAAAAAGGTACCTCACCTTGCCCTTGAAGACAAGGCCAGGAGCTAGGGCAAGGCTGAAGACAATGAAAAGTGAGGTTGAACTAAACAGTTTGGTTGTCAATGTCACCTTCCAACTCCTTCTGGACATCTCAAGGTTGATTAACGATGCTTTCATCTCAAATGCAACAAAATGACCCATATTTCTCTAATGCTTCTGCTCATGTCTTCTCATCATAGCTTAAACAGCACCCTGATGTATTCCATTAAACATTCTCTTAAAAATTCCCTTTATGGACAAATGCTCAGGAAGACTCATTGTCTCCTCTCTCGTCCCCTATATATTAAACTGACTTACTTTATCTTATGGAGTTTCTCTCTCACAAATCAGGCTACAGAATAGAACTATAGCACCTCGATTCCCTGAAGACCTGTGTTAAGCTTTTGATTCTAGGGTTTGCTTGCTCAATTCAGGGGTAAAAAGGCAAGAAAACACATAGAGCTTAAACAAAAGAAACATTTTAAAAGTCTCCGAACCTTCTAAAGTTCGTCCAGGCCTTTTTTCCTAATACTGACTGTATCTTTTCTACCCATCCTCAGCTGGACCTCAGGTCCATGGCATTGGATTGGTCATAACCTCATTTGCTAGTATGTAACACACTTCATCCATGCAAACTCCTGTGTTATTATTAATGTGTATTTTTTTCACCTTCCTTTGCTAAAAAGCTACATTCCCACATTCTAGACACTGCTGATGAGACCACTAATCTTACCTTGTTTGCCTCCTCTTCAGCTGATGCCATACTTCGTCATGGAGATATTTGCCTCAATGCCTGGACTACCAGGACTTTTTGTGTCTTGTGCCTTCAGTGGAACTCTGAGGTTAGTGTGTTGACAACGCTCTGCTGTGATGATAACGATGGTGACAGCAGGGATGATTAGGTCATGGTGGTAGTAAATCATTAGTGTTTACTGAATACTTACTGTGTGTCAACTGCTCTACTAAATGTTTTATTTGTGTCTGCTCATTAGTTGTTACACTATATATAAGAATGAAACTTTACTCGCGTTATCATTGGTTTGTAGATAAGAAAACTGAAATTTAGCAAGGTAGCTAACTTACCCACGGTGATATAGTAAACTGCAGAGGAAGGTTGTAAGCCTAGGTCTGCCCCTACACTAGATCTTTCTGTTTATTTTCTCAACCTTGTCTAATGCCAACTGCTCCCACAATTTCACATCATCTTTACACAAGGCAGCTCAATCTGGTGGCATTTATCATTTAACCACAATATGTTTCTGCAGATCTGTTGTTGGCAATCCATTCTCCCCATTTTCAGTAGCGTACTCAGGCAGCTCCTAACTTCCTCCCTCCGCATGTAGACATTATTCTAAGGTTTATAGCAAGCCAGGCACCGCTGGTGATAGTGGGGATGTGGGGATACTGTGGAGAACAAGGCTGACATTGCCCTCATATAGACTTTGCATTCTAATTAGCATAGAAAGTAAACAATATATAATAAGTGAACAAAATAAACAATATATAGTTTGATAATGACAAGTAATATAAAGGAAATAACAGAGTGATATCCTAGAGAGAAGTGAGGACTGGGGGTTCTATTTTTAATAACGTCTTTAGGAACCTCCTCTTTGAGTCTGTGACATTTGAGATGAGACCTAAAGCATGTGAAGGAGGGAGCTCTGTGAAGAGCACAGGCAGGATTTCAGGCCGGGGGAGGAGCAAATTCCAAAGCCCTCAAGAGAAACTGTATGGAATATTTTAGGAACAAACAGAAGAGTTGAAGCATGAGGAATTGGGAGGAGTGTAGGTGCAGATGAGTTTGAAGGTATGAACAAGCATCAGATCATGAAATGGTAAAGAGTCTGCATTTCACATTAAATTGGAAGGCATTAGAAGGTTTGAAGCAAGGGAGTGAGTGATGCCATACAATTGAAGACTCAGCCTTCTATGTGGGGAAAGGGCTATAATAAAAGCTCGAGTGGTAAAGGTGAATGACTTGTTAGGAAGCATTTGTCTTAATCCAAGTGAGAGATGATAGTGACTTGGAGAAGGGTAGGGGCAACAGTGTTAAGAGCAATGAAGTAAAGCAGTAAGACAGTGCCATTATTCTCCTTGAAACTAGACCCACTGCCTTTTAAGATCAGAGACTCAGCTAGTGAGAAAAGCCTTGTTTCCCTTCCTGGAACTAGTGGCAAAGGAGCAATTACAGGATTGGTAAGAGGACAGTTTTAATGTAGTAAATTGATAAGAGTCAAAATTCACAGTACCAGAGGATAAAAGTAAAAACTTTATATCTTATCCCTCAAATCCCTGTCCCACCCCACAAAATTAACCACTGTTAATAATTTCTTGTGAATAGATCAGAAAATTTCTTTGCTTATGTGAACATATATACCTTTTAGGGTACAGAAAAGAGATCACATTTTATATACTATTTCATTTCTTTAAGTTAATGTAATTGAAAAATCTTTCCATATCAGTAGATCTGCCTTGTTCATTCTTTTTTGTTTTGTTTTGTTTTGTTTTTTTGATCTACCAGTCCTTCAATGTAAGACATAACTAACAATGGTTATGTCTTAGTTTGTTTAGGCTGCTGTAACAGAATGTCATATATTGGGTGGCTTATAAAAATGAAAATTTATTAATCATAGTTTTCGGGGCTAGGAAGTGTAAGATCCAGGCATTGGAGATTTGGTGTCTGGTGAGGACCCACTTTCTGGTTCAAACATGGCTGTCTTCTTGCTGTGCCCTCACATGGCAGAAGGGATGATGGAGCCCTCCATGGTGTCTTCCTGATGGTCTCTCACTAATCCCATTCATGAGGGCCCCACCATCATGATGTGGTTAAGTCTCAAAGGCCCCATCTCCAAATACCATCCATTGGGAATTAGTCTTCAACATCTGAGTTTTGACGGGATATAGCGCACTATATGGTATGTCTTTGTGAAATTGTGTAGCCTACATAATGTGTAGGCTACATTCCAAGATGTGGAAATACTGTCAAAATACATATTCGTTTAAAACTCTTTATTGACATTGCTAAATTAACTTCCAAAACTTGTACTAATTTATACACTGAAAACAACAGTGTAACTCTTGCCCCACACTGCTATCAATATTGAGTACTACAACACTGTTAAATTGCTAGTTTGATAGTTGAAAAATGGTAACTAATTTTAACTGTGAATTCTCTTCAACATAAATAGGACTAACAACATTTCCTTGCTTTCACTGACTATTCATTTTCTTTTTCGTTTGTTTGTTTTTTGAAAAATACCAATTCATTTTCTCAGTAAATTTTTTCTTTTGAGTTTTCCTTTATATAAATATGAAAATATTTTTGCCATATATTATTTTTCTCATTTGTTCTTTATGTATTTGCTTTATTAATCATGTTTTTGTGTAGATGAAGATTTTATTTTATATTAATCAATTCTTTTGCATTATAGTTTCTGGTTAATATCTTTCTTGGAAAAGCTTCCATGACATGATTATTAATAATCATCCAGACTTTATTCTAGTATATTTGTGATCTTATTAAATGTTAAAATTATTAAATCATCTAGGGTACACATGTGACATGAAGAATGAAGTGGAGTTCCTGACCCATGTTTGTTCTATGTTAGTTACCAGTTGTCCCATTATATTTTTAGTAAAAAAAAAAAAAATCTTTCCACTACTGATTTGAAAAGCCGTTTTTAGTACATCCTACATTCTTCGACCTATTCAGAACTTTTTCTGGATTCTCTTTTATATTCCTTTGATCTATTTGTCTACAGTTATGTCAATTCTAATAATTTTAACAATTACATTAAAAGTATGATTTAATATCTGTGAGACTGGTAATTATTGGTTACATTTCTTTTAAAATTTCCTTTGATATCTATGTTTTTTCCTAATAATTTTCATTTATTATTATTATTTTTTTTTTATATTTCAGTGTAATTTATTTTTTTTATTTTTTATTATTATTATTATTTTTTTTAATTAATTTATTTACTTTTTAAATACATTTGTCTCTGCCTTCCCCCCACCTCTTTCCCTTGCCCCCTCCCACCCTCCCTCCCTCAGCTCTTCCCTTTTGGTTTTGTCCATGAGTCCTTGCTATATGTTCCTTGACTTTCCCCTTCCCTTCCCTTTCCCTGCCCCCCCCCTTCCCTCTTGTCTCTGTTGATTTCTTTTCCTTTCAGTGTTGCTGGTCTTATTTTCCTTGCTTCTTTGCATTGTTGGTTAGGTTCCGCTTATAGGTGAGATCATATGGTATTTGTCTTTCGCCCCCTGGCTTATTTCGCTTAGCATGATGCTCTCCAGTTATGTTTTTAGGATTGATTGTACTGAAATCATGATATCTGCAAAAACTTTCACATTTTTTCTCTTCTTTTTATACTTCTATATTAATTCTCATATATAAATGAGCTTTAAGGCCAATGATAAATAATTGAGGAATGGCAGAAATCCTTGTTTTGTTATGTAATTTAAAGGGAATAGTTCTTGGATCCTACCATTAAATGTGATTTTAGATTTTGATTTAAAAGATATTATTTACATTTTTAAATATTTAAATAAATTAATAAAATTATTAAAAAGGACAGAAATACATGTATTTATGCTACACTTAGGACATATTTTTATCAGGGAGAATGTTGAGATTTGGTAAGATTTTGAGATTTTTAAAGTGGGTATTTTGAAAACTGTTAACCTTTCACATATTAATATTATAATTACTGATTTTCAAAATAGAAACCTCTCGAATACACATAATGACTTCAACCTGCTAATGTTGTAATTTTAATGTAGTGTGCTGTTGAACATTTTACTCTATGTTTTCAGAATTCTGAATTAATAACACAAAGAGATACTGTTCTGTGGCATTGGCGTTAGGATCTCAAGAAACTAAAGCCAGAAACAATGAGCACTAGCGGATCATACACAAGGAGGGGTGGCACTCTCGTCTTCATTTTGTCCCTTTCTACAGAGCTGTCTTTATTTATTTTTTTCTTACTCTAACGTTGACTTTCTTCAGACTGCTGAAATACAGCCGTCAACAGATTAAATCCCACAAAGTTTCCATCAAGAGTATATATTATAAACTGCTTTTCCTATAATGGTAAGGGGGGTATTAGATTAGGGAAAGGAAAAGACAAGAGTAGGGGTAGCATAAAGAGATAGTGTAAAGAGGTAGGAAAAAGACTTTCTACCATCTTGTAGCAGTTTTAGAATCTGAGAAATTGACATCTGGAAAACACCTGATTGTAAAAACAACTCAACAGAGGTTCTAGAAATCTGATCCTTCTGTGCCAAAGTCAGCTTTTTGTTCCTTCCTTCCCAAAAGATTCATGGGTTAACCATAATGTTTGCAACTTTCACATAATTAATTTTGAGTCATACACTTTGGGAGTGCAGGCAGTCCTTTTATTTGATCACTTCCTATCCTTATTTGACTTTGATGGAGCTGTGGATGGGGGTCTTGCAGGGAACATATACTAGGCCTTGATCCTCAGAAAAATAAGAATGACATGTACTTAAAGTTTCTATTCCCAGAAATGGCTCTTAGAAAGTTTGTTCTTGCTATATCTGTCATTTAGGGATGGAGCTATTAAATAATGCATAAGATGGACCCTTGGAACTATTCCAGTTGAAGTAACCTACAGCTAAAATTAATGGTACTATTATCCTACATTACCAAAACATGAAAAAGTTTCAATTTTCTTTCATACCTTTGTCACAGCTATAGCAAGTCTTCAAATGTGGATTAGAGGATAACAAAATAACTAATAATGAGCATCAGTGGAACACTTACAAATAGTTGGCCAGGTTTTGTTCATCATCTTTAGTTTTCTAGAACTTTTATTTGTGGTTGTGATTTTACATCATGTGAATTTAATATAGTTGTCTATTCTACAAGCTGAAATATTCCTGGTCTCTATAAAGAATTCAATAAACTTTCTTGTTATTCTGCAAAGAAAATGAAAACCTTCAGGTCCGCTGACATCTAAGCGAGTTTTAGGGGCATAAAACTGAACTCTGATTGGAAAGTCAGAGCTTTTGAGTTTAGGTATTTGGCTCCTTCCTACTCTTATCTTTTGTCCTTTACTCTCTTACTAACTGCATGCTAGCCGTTCTGATGGCTGAAAGTCGGTGAATGCAACAAGCTTTCAGGCATTTAAATGTAATTTTCCTTTTGTTTTAGAACATCTTGTTCCCAATATGCGTGAGTGTTTTCAGTTCCTATCTTAACCATAGTTTCCTAAGGGGAGTCTCTCCCAACTTTATATTGGTTTCGATCTCTGCAAGACATGCTCTCATAGCACTTTGTTTTTTTCCTTCACAACAGTTTTTACAATTGTTATCAATTATGTAATTGTTTGTTAAATGTTCCTGTCTTCAAATTAAGTGGAAGATCTTTGTCATTCTTGTTTATCATTATATGCCTTGTACCCAGATTGAATAAACAGGCGCATGAATGGTATTAATTAATTAATTAATTATTAATGAATGGCAAAGTGAACTGACACTTGGGTTAGGATAGTCACTACATCTTGCTTCAAGTCCAATGTAAGCCCCCAGACCATACCACACCCAAGCACACACCTAATCTCTGCTATTGCTTGCTAATTCATTGAACATCTTGTTAAGAGAAATTACTGGGAGTTGAAAACCTAGCTTCTTCAATGGAGTTTGTGAAAGTATTGAAAGAGCATTGATTAAGCAGAGAAGCAGTTTTGAAGAGTGAATAGAGAGGCCGTGTGGTTCCCCTAGAGTTCTAGAATAAAGATGTATGTCAGCATCTGTTGTCCCAGAGTGCTGCCTTATCTATTTGCCCTGGAAAGCAGGGCAGGCTCGGGGCTTAGCTTTGTTTAGCTTGAACCATGTTCTCGCTTTTCTCTCCCTGTAGCACCGTGGCTGCAAGTATCAATGCCTTAGCAACAGTGACCTTTGAGGATTTTGTCAAGAGCTGTTTTCCCCATCTCTCTGACAAGCTGAACACCTGGATCAGTAAAGGCTTATGTAGGTATAACCAGTGAATATTCATTCCATATCACATAATGTATGTGTGGTACATGTCAAAATCCTGCACATGCTAGTCAGGACACTGGCACAAAAGCATGTGAGATACATGAGGAATTTCACATATAGATTCTTCCACTTGCAAAGATACCAGGAGGGTACCAAGAAAGCATGACCAGCTAGCTTACATTTCACCACCCTTGTTTGCAAAATCTTCTGTGCTCATGCTACATTCTAGATTCATCAATTCTATATCTTTTAATTATGCTATGAACTGATAATGCTGTGTATTGATCATATTAATTCCTACATATGGGATATTATTCTGCTCACTATGGTCAGTCACATTGTCTAATAAAGCCAAATTCTTTATTGACAAACTCCCAGTAATCTCATCTCAAAGAATAATTTCTCCTTGCTTAATTGTATGATTGTATATTATGTTTATAATTACTATAATACTTACTATCTTAAATTATAGTTTTATACAATATACTTCAAAGTATAAACAAATTATTTGCTTGTTTACTTATTATAGGAAATGTAGGTACTTGGAAAACCATATAAACTTTTAAAATAAAATTATATCTAAACCTGTTAAAAAATGTTTCTCTTGTTACTTTTTTTTACAAGAAAATTTGCTATCTATGTTTTTCTTTCAACATAACTTTAAAATAAAATATATTGCATGTTACCTAACTGTATTCTCCCTCATAGGACTACACTAAATCTGAAAATGTATTTGGGAAGAATTGACCCAATTTATTTATATGTAATGATAGCATTTAATATTTTCCATTTAATAATATAATGATTTTGATCCTAGGTATTAATTATACTCATGCCTTCCTCTTCCTCCTGCTTGCCCACCTCCTCCTTGGCTGCTTCTTTTCCTTCCATTCCCCTTTCCCCTCCTGCTTCTTCCTCTCCTCCTCCTCTCCTTCTTCTTCTTCCTCTTTCATTGATACTGTGAATGAGATGCTTTCTCCATATCTCCTGAACTGTGTATAATCAATGTAGAAAATATGTATCTTTTTGTTTTTGTTTTATAAAGCATATATCTTTCCATTTACCTGACTATTGTTGATTTTCAAATTTTAATTGGTTTTCTAGTAAGGATGGTCATTGCATACTAATATTAGTAGTTTTATCATCCCCTTATTCTCAGATTTAAGTTGGTCTTCATTTTTTTCAGTTTTTCTCCTATTCCCAAAACTTTGCTTTTTAACTCTTCATACTTGGAGAAATCACATTTTTTTCTCAGTTACTTCTGAATTCTCCACAAAGTAAAGCTTTCACTATAATAATTTTAATTCTGCTATTGTTTTTTGCCCCTTATATTTTATTATAACAATTAAATCTTGCAACAAGGTTTAAAGACTTCTACTATGAATTCATATGTGTATATATATATAATCCATTAAAATTTTTCTAAACTTACTTTTCCTCATATCCATCTAGGTCTCTATCCATTTAATAATCCATCATATTTAAATACTTTTCCCCTAAATTTAGATGCATATTGTTAACTAGAATTAAAGAACAGTTTAAAGTTTTTTTGAGTCATTTTTATTGTTATTTTATTCTGTTGTCTCAATTTCTCCCCCTTTGCCCTCCTCCGCCCATCCCAACTCACACTCCCGTAGTCAATTCCCACATTATTGTCCATGTCTGCAGGTCATTCCACACGTCTTCTTTGTCTAGTCCCGTCCCCTTCTTTCTACAACTGTCCTCCTCCCCTCCCCACTCTGGTCACTTTCAGTCTGCTCCGTGTTTCCATGCCTGTGGTTCTATTTTGTGCATTAGTTTATTTTGTTCATTAGATTCCACTTATAGGTGAGATCACAAGGTATTTGTCTATCTACAATGAAATGGACAGATGTTAAGTATGCATTTGATGAGTTTTGACAAATTCATATGCCTGTGCAATCCAACCGCTAAAGACAGAAATAATTATCATAACCTTGGAAGCTCCCTTTTGCTCATCCCAGTCAATCCTTGCTCCCTCCCACTCCCTCCAGATACTTATTAATAAAGTATCTGGTAAATGGACATTATTCCCAGGACAATTCCCAATTTCTAGCAGATATTTATAAATATGTTGGATTGAGTACAAGTTTCTTTTATGCCCATGGTTTATTGTCTGATCCTCTGAGCTGATTTAGCATGGAAAAATCCACAGCATTTGCTGTAACTGTGGAGCTTTCTTTCTCTTGCATATTTACTGCCTTGCTTTGCAGGTTGCTATTGATTGCATTCTTCTGGAAGTATAAATATTTGGTGGGGGAGGGAGGCTAAATGAATTCTCTAGTCAGCACAAAAAATGTAGAATTCCTGGATTGAGGGATGGCTGCCGATCCTTTCATTTGAACATGTAATTTTTGGTGCACCAAAGGTAGTCAGTAGTAGAGAGGAAACATGTCCTGTTATTTTCTTCAGGAAAGTGAAGTTGTCCTCATTCATAAAGCAATACAGAATCAGGGCAAACATTGTTTTCTGTAATCTAATTATCATCTTGAAAGACGATAGGAACAAATTTAGAATTCTGAAATGTGTTTATTGATCAAACTTGGTTTTTAGCATTGTTTTGAGTTTCCTTATTTTTCTGGGTCTTATTGAGAAGCTGGAAAATACAGCATAAAAAGTTGCTGACCTGATTTGAGTGACTTACAGATAATAAGTATCATAAATAACTATCATGTACTAAATCTGACATAAAATAATACTAATAACAACAATAATTATAATAGTGGAAAACACATAGTACTTGTTATGTCTCAAGCGCTGCTAGATATAGTAACTTCATGTATATGTAGTTCCTTTTCAGAATGTGAGATCTTTGGAACAGGAATCAAGTTCTGACATTAAAGCACTGGCATCTAGTAAAGTGCCTGACACATGATCAATATTCAATAAAGTTGAATTAATAGTAATTGGGAACTGATCTAGATATTTAGCTGACAGAGAATTTCAAAGAGCATGAACAAAATCATTTTCTCTGTTTCTGTCGTTGTGTTTCCATCTATGTCCAGCTCCAACTCTTTATCTCTCTCCCGCCCTTGTTTCGTGTATGAGTTTTAATCGGTATGAAATGTACTTTAAGGTGATTTTTGAACAAAGATGTATTAAGACAACCATTTTTTAAAAGATAATAATTTTAAAAAAGGCATCATGTTTAAAAGACGACTAAGATGTATGTGCTGATTCACCCAGCAAGCCCCTGTGGTCCTAGAAGCTCTGTGAAAGGCATTTCAGAGCACGGTGCCCGGATGGCTTTTATGGTTCTCCAACATAGATACGTAAACAAGTAATCCACTGTGTAACGCACTAAGGGCCATAAGGATAGCATGAATAAAGCACTTAGGGAAAAGACAAGAAAAACTTTCCAGATTTGCAAAACCTGTGAGATAAAATGTATAAATATTTAGTGATTTTCAACATGCAAAACCACCCAAATCCCAGAGAAGTTAGTAACTTCTTCAGGTGACTGCTGGTTGGTCAAAGCAGAACTAGTTCCAGCTAACTTAGTCCGGATCAGCTTTGATGAGCGCCCTTTCCACAATTCATGTTGCTTTCACCTGACAGCTTTCTTCTCGAATCTTGGATTGGAAACTACTTGACACTAGATTCCAGCTCATTCTGCCTGATCTAGGAAAGCATGTCCCAGGGAGAAAAATATCTCAATGCTCCTCTTGGGGCTTGCGATGGCTGACTAGGGAGGGCAGTTCCCTGACATCCTTTCTGATAGGGCTTGCATCAGAGGGAGTCATGGGCAGGAGCTAAAGGAAAAGGAACCCCTCAAAGCCAGCTTGGGTGATGGTAACGAGGTTTTCAATTCTTTCAGGCATCTTATTTGGTGTGATGTGTACCTCCATGGCTGTGGCTGCATCCTTCATGGGAAGCATTATACAGGTAATGAATGAAGAAAAAGACACATTTAATTTCATACCAATGTTTTACCCATGTTCTTTTCTAATGTTTTGCCTGTTCCTCCAAGCCACTCTCTGATGCCAGGTCCAAATTAGACATACAGATAAAATTTCAACTAAAATTACTTTCAGAAAGGGAAACTATTAAAAAAAAGCTAATAATGGATCAGTGACAAGTTATACTGTAGTAAAACTAGAAACTTTTAAAATCCAGATCTGAGAAGTTATGATATTGAAGTAAAAGAAGGAATGATAATTATGATAGTAAAAACAATAAAAACAATTGATATTTATGAAATGCTTATATATCCTAGGTACAGTCTCAAATGTATTACCTCATTTAATTTTGATCACTTCTTCAGGAGGTAGTATGATTAATATACTAATTTTATAGCTGAAGAAACTAAAATGTAGAGAGGTGAAGTGATGTCCCCAAAGTCACATAATTAAAGAGTGGTGGAGCTGGGACATGACTCTTCTATTTTCTACCTATTATCTAGCCTGAGCTGCCTCCCATATATCCCACTTTCAGTCCCATGAAATGCCAGCACTAAAAAGAAGCCTTAAGAATAATCTGTTTTACCATCTTCCTTTTGTAGATAATTAAAGAAAAGAGTGAAAATATGCTCCTCAAGTTCTGACAGTTAGTTAGTGGCTGAATCAGGTTTATGGCTCAAGACTCCTGAGGTACAACACCTCTTCCCTTCACAAACTGCCCAACTCACAAAGCAGCATCAGATAAGCGAACCTTCATATTCTACTTTAACCCTTTCGATTCCCCTTTATCTTCGTATTATCTGAAGATCCTTTACATTTTCTTGGTATGGCATAGGTTTTCAATAAATGGTGCTTAAACAAAAACATGAATAAGTGTGAGTGGATAATAATCACTGACTTAGTTTTTTTTTCTTTCTATTACATAAGGCTTTTTTTTGTTTCCTGGAGTTTCAGTAAATGTTGCTTAAACAAAAACATGAATAAGTGTGAGTGGATGATAATCACTGACTTTCTTAAATTTTTTTTTCGTGCTATCACACAAGACATTTTTTGTTTCCATTTTTTGTTACAAATAACTTTGTAAGAGATTTTTAATTTTTCCTCTAGGAGAGGTAAGTACCTTTCCTAGCTAATTGACTCTCCCATATAATACCTAGTAAATTATCTTCCAAATTCAGCAACCATAGCAACAATAAATTAATGCTGTCAGTCATCAGAAGAAGTGTTGGGAATGTTAAAACCAGTATCTATATTAGGGAAGATTATCAACTTTAATCTTATTGGCCTCCATCTTGTCAAAGATTTATTTGTGGCATTGAGTTCTCTAAAAATTAACCTGGCAAAACAATCATGTCCTTGCCTTACGTCTCCTGTTGCTTCACAGCAGAACTTACAATACAGGTGGAGGGGCTTTGAAGGCCCCTTGGTAATATCTTTCCATTGTTTTTAGAAAAGAAGTCTCTCCGAAGTAGAATGAATCTGAATTAATAACAGAAGTTTCACCAAATCATACTTTTGTGTGGCAGGGCCAACATTAGAATTTAAATATCCTACTAGTGATGGGCTCTTTCAAGAACTTTTTCCTTTAAACAACAAAAATAGAAGGTCCTTATAGTGATCTGTGCTCTTGTCTTTTTTCTTTTTGAAGACAAAATGGCTTAAAACTCAAATCTTACTTCTGCCACTTTCTAGATGCCTTTTTTTTAATATGTTTGTCTCAGTCCAATGTTCTCATCTATGAAGTTGAATTAGTGTTACCTATAGCAAGGATATTTGTAAAGATTAAATGAGATCACTTATTCGGGGTGCCTGAGTAGCTCATAGTTACTATGTGGCATTATAGGAGGTGCCTGACAAACATGAGATACTGTATATATAAGATCTTTAGAAAATATTCATCTCAACCCCTTGATCTAAGAGCACTATAGTTGCATTAATGGAATGAGATAGAGCTGATTGCAAAGTAGCTGCATGTGTGTATGCACATACTCATTTGCCTGCATGACTATGTCTGTGTATGTTCAAGAAGGCCATGGAACAAGTCTATAGGTTGTCAGCAAATTAGTTTAAAAAAACTCTTTGCCACATCCCTGGGCTCAATAGTTCAGAGCCCAAAAGATGTGGAAATGCATTCTTCAAATTCCATTTCCACAAGAGGGCCATGGAAGAGGGATATGGGATATGAGTGTCCTATGGCCTCCCACCGTACCTCAATGCCTCAACGTCCTTGAGGTGTTCTGCATAAGATGTCAGAGGTGGAGTGACAATTACTATCAAAATAATTCAATTGCTTAAACAGCTGATCAACTATATAAGATATGAAATATATTATAGGTGTATTTATTGATATACTACATAAAAACTTGTCGTTAAGATAGAAAATACAAACAAATTGATGAGTTTTGGCTTGAAGGAAAATTACTTTTACCAAATCCAAGTCACCTGTGTGTGTGTACACACACACACACACACACACACACAAAACAGACACACACGTCTGTTTGTATGTATTTTTGTTTTTTAACACAATGTTTATTGTTGAGCTCAGAAGGGAGAAATGACTTTTAGAAAGCCCCTGATCAGTGAGTGGAACAGTCAGGACTAGGACTGAATTTTATCCCAAGTCCAAAGAAGAGGTGGTCCCAGGCTGGTCATGAGGTCATAATTCTGATCTGCCTTTCTCTGCAGGCTGCCCTCAGCATCCATGGCATGTGTGGGGGGCCGATGCTGGGCCTGTTCACGTTGGGAATCGTGTTTCCTTTTGTGAACTGGAAGGTAAGGATTCTGCACTCCCCACCGCTCTCTCAATTCTCACTCCTCCATGGAAAGGCCATTTGTCTTTGCCAAAACAAAACAAAACAACAAAAACAAACAAACAAAAAAAAGTAGTGGAGTGGCTTCTTTCCATGGAACTAAACAAAACCTGAGTCCTCCTATCTCTGACTTCAGTGAAACTGTTTTAGAAACAGAAAGCAAAACAAGTGAGATGTCGTTGTAAAATACAAAATGTCATGCCATCAAAGCTGGTTCTTCAGGGTTTAAACTGTCTTCTCTAAAGTAAGGACCCATGGGAATGAAATTTTAAACAGCTATTGAATTCAGAAATAGTTTAATTTAAACATAATTTATAAAACTTAAAAAAGTACAATTTTTCTCTATATTTTTACCTATATTATAACTAATTTAATGGACAATTTAAAGGGGGCGGGGGGAGAGGAGACAAGCCCTGTATATTCTGAGAGCTGAATCTTCTTGGCTTTGCTAGCTGGCAAGCTAATAGTTTGTCTTTAAGTAAATGTTGGTTGCATGACTGTGTAGTAAGTATAAATCAAAATGAACATTTATTTGGAAAAATAATATTATAGTATTTTTTAAATCTTTTATATATTACAATTTTTCAGGCTAACAAGTTGATTTTTTAAAATGTATCCATATATACACTTCCATGCATAAAGTTTTAGAAAATCTTTAGGCTACACAAAATCAGACTCTATGCATATTTTTACTATACTATGGGGTTCTTGATAAAGCCTGATCAAATGGTATATCTAATTGGGTCTCTGTGACTACCTGACCATTATTGACCTTTATTCTAGATAAATCTTATGGGGGAGAATGAATAGGTAGGGAACATCTAGGAATCTGCAGTGCTTCCCTTTCAATCTTGTTAGAAGACACTTCATTGTAATCAACTTTTCTGATATTGAATTTGACAAGGATAGTTATGTCCTTAAAGAGATAGTATGAAAGAAGGCAATTCCTTAGCCACAGAAGAGCTAATAACTAGTTACATGACATCTTAATGCATTCTAAACATTAGTTTGTATCTATGTTAGTCAATTATGATCTTATTTAGTCACAAAAACCCCCTTATTCTAGACAAAATATAATAAATATTACAAATTTGTGTCATCTCTCCCCTTGTCATTGGCCATGGCTGATCTTACTAATCAATCCTGGCTATCTTTTCACAAAATCTGGATGCAACCTCAAAATTCCCAGCGTGGCTTTCAAGGCAGCTACTCTAAATCAGTGAGGGCAGAGACTTGTATTAAAATCCATTCACTCTTTACTGGGAGGCCAGGGGTCAGCAAACTACACCTTTCAAGTTGAATGCAGAGATCTTCCTGGTTTTGGTATGGCTGGCAAGTTAAAAACAATTTGACATTTCTAAATTGTTGGAAAAAATTTTAAAAAAGGATAATGTCTCATGACACAACTATTAAAAATTCGCATTTTGGTGCCTATAAATTTTATTGGAACACAGCCACTCTCCTTTGTTTATGTAGTGTCCGTGGGTGTTTCTGTGCTACCATAGCAAGACCGAGCCGCTGTGACAGCCCTTGAATGGCCCACAAGGCCTAAAATGTTTATTAGCTGGTTGTTTATAATAGATGCTTGCAGATTTCTAGTCTAGACAAAATTACAACTATTCAAATCACATACGTTGTTTTAGTTTCCCCCAATAATAACAAACAGAACATTCTAGTGCTATTATTGGAGAAACTTTATTCTGAATAAATAGAGAAATGAACGTTTTCTCTCGCAGAGAAGGCTCAGTCCTCCTGGAGAGCCCAGGAGCATCCAGGTTTTATTTTCCAGTGGCGCTGGTCTCTGCTACGCTGTTCTGTCACTGTTTATCAAGAAATGAAAGGGCTAGCAAATAGACTTGCTAGTATCTAGAGTCGATACTCCAAACTTGGGAGTCAGAGATGCTGCCAGAACCACTTGGAAAAGCATATGGGGGTAGAATTTCTGTATTATAGCTTGTAATAATAAATGCCAACAAAAAATGACCACATTGCCCCCATTATCTGAGGTTTTCCCAAACTTCTGAAATTCAGCTATTCGGAACTGAGGTTTCAACAGCTTTTCAAGCAATAAGAGGGAGAAAAAAACTAAATAGAGAGGGGAAAAAGATTCCTGCTAGAAATCTAAATATAATGATCACTCTGAAATCATTTAGTGCTTTTTTTTAAGGAAAAAATTATTTTTAAATAAGGAAACATTGTGGGAGTTGGAAGGAAGGCCGTTTCCAGAATGAGTAGCTAAGATTTGGGGTGGAAAACCAGGATCTCTGAGACACAGTACTCCTCCCCTCATCATGATTTCAATGGCTTTGTCAAACTTCTCATTAACTTTTCTTTTTCCTTCATCAGGGTGCAATAGGAGGCCTTCTGACTGGGATCACCTTGTCATTTTGGGTAGCCATTGGGGGCTTCATGTATCCTGCACAAGCCTCCAAGACATGGCCCTTGCCTTTATCGACAGACCAGTGTGTCCCCTCAAATGTGACGGAGTTAGTGCCTCCAGTGCTATCCAGCAGGTATGGAGCCTCTAAAGATGGCAGTAAGTCCCAGAGAGTGGGTCACCAGGTTAGAGGAAGGTGCACTCTTCAGCGATCAGTCTGACAAGACAGATGTTGCTTTCCTGTGAGACGCCCTCTGGGCAGCACCCAGCACTGTGGAGTGTCCTGCAGGGCTCCAGCTTTCTGTAGGTATCTATTCCTCTGCAATCCGGTGTGGAAGGGTAAACATGGCAGAAGGATTAGTTGGAGGTATGAGTGCAAAACAGATAAAATAGTGAAAAGTTTGAAAATAGCATATGAAGATCATGATGTTTTTTTAAAAAGAATACAGGCTCTGAGTAGAGTAGGTTTGTTAGCAACACAAAGAATGATTGTAATTTACTGAGAAAAGAGCGTTGCTGTGAACATATCGTTTCTAACTCAAACTGTACAGCTCTTAACTAAGGGTTTTCCTTTCTATTTTGGGCTGGGATAAATAATTTAAAGTACCAAAATACAGGAGATAAGGCGTTGCAGGGAGAAGACCATGGACTTTGAAATCAGAAATATCTTGGTCTGGATTTTGGTTTTATGATTTATTCACTCTTTATCTTTGCACATGGAGTAGAATTTCAGAAGTTTGGAAAAACCTCAGATAATGGAGACAGAGTGGTCATTTTTCATTGATATTTGTTATTATAAACTATAGTTATTACAGCTATTACACAATATTATTATTAACAAACTATTACAGAAACTCTACTCCCATATGCTACTCTCTTCTTGAATCCTTACTCAAGGAATCCTTGAGTCCCTAGGGAAGGTAATAAGTATTTTACTGAGATTTTGAGAGGATTAAATAATACTAAATTTATATCTATATTTAATTATATTAAATCTATATATAAAATTATATCTATATATCTATAAACATTAAATTCTATTATCTATCTACCTTTTTATCTATCTGGAGAGAATGAGGGAATAGGGGAGAGAGAAAGAGCCAGGAGCATGGTACCTGACTTTAATAAGAGTGCATTCTTACATCTAATTATGCTTCTGAGTAGGTGTTTTTTTCCATATAATATTTGAACACTCCATTATCTTGCTTTCATTTGCCTCTGAAGTTATATTAGTTTAGAACTTTTCCTAATGGACAAGCAATATCAACCTATTTATAGTTCCCAAGTCTATAATGTTGTTTCTTCTTTCCTGCCTATGCTTATAGTATCCCCTTTTCTTTGCTTGATTAACTATTAACGATTCTTTAAAAATGAACTACTGTATCATTTCATATATCTGCCTGAGTTTGATACCCTTTTTGATATTCCCAGAATCCTCCTCTGCCCCTATTCCACCAGGACATTGCCATCCCATTTTATGATTGTAAGCTCCTGTATGTAGACTGTGTGGCTTACTCTCATTTTGTTTTTAAGATTGTATTTATTTATTTTTAAAGAGAGGGGAATGGAGGGGGAAAGGGAAAAAAAAACATAAACATGCAAGAGAAACATGGATCGGTTGTCTCTCACATGCTACCAACCAGGGACTGAACCTGCAGTCCAGGAATATGCCCTGAATGGGAAGGGAACGCATGATCTTTTGGTTTGCAGGACCACACTCAACCTACTGAGCCACACAACTCAGGGTGGCTTTATAAATGTTCAATGTCTGTCACAATTTCTGGGACTAAATCTGGGCTCTACAAATGTCTGAAGAATAAATAATACAAAAGAAATGGAAAGCAAGGTCCTCATTGCAATTGTATCTCAGTAGCAACATTTGTCATCTGGGGATGGATGGGATAGAATGGAATACAAAGCACAACTAGTCTACCTCTGAGACTTCAAAAAATAATCAAATGGCAAAAAGTTAAGCTTTGGAGTTTTGGGAGAAGCTAGACCCTAAAATGAGCCCTCTCCCATGCTCTCAGTCCCTGTGAATCTATCTTGAGAACCCACATGTGCTGTTGTCCTCCACAGACCTGCAATTGCTGACATCTGGTATTCGATCTCCTACCTATACTACAGTGCAGTGGGCTGCCTGGGATGCATTGTTACTGGAGTAATCATCAGCTTCATCACAGGTCGAGTACATGGATACCCTCTTTGGGGCCAAGAAAAACATGGGCTATTTTCATGCATTGGTGGACTAGTGACTGTTCTACTGGTATGATTTTGGATTCACCACAAAGAGCTTCTCTTCTCAGTGAGATATATCTACTTTCCAAACTGACCTGCAAAAACATCCCTCTTTAGATATATTATTAATCATATATATATATAATACAGAAGATTAATATATGATTGATATATATAATATATAATTAATAATATATACAAAACATATATTTTTAAATATCCTCCATATATTATAAAAAAGATGTTTCAACCCATGGCCTCCAGAAGCCTGAGTATGAGAACTCCTTTGTAATATAACATTCAATAAGGAAGGTTAAACACTAGGAGTGATTCTTTTCCTCTTCATTTTAGTAAGAGACTGGAGTTTCTCCTATGATCACCTTACTATCTCATGGGTTTGCCTTTACTAATTGACTATATAAGCAGAGGAAAGTCTTACTGTTGCTTTTGGATATGTTGTCCTTTGGAGGTCACTCTTACAGTGAGCGGCTTCACTCTCAGACGTTTTTGGTACCAGTGTTTACTATTCGTACTTTGAGCCACTGTCCCTCTGATGATGTAATGCTGTTTTTTATGCCAAAGCCCAGGAAGGATTGGTGAGAGAGAATGGGGTAAAATAGGCCCATTATAATTTTGCTACTCTGCCTCTTTGGAGTATATATGAGTATTTTAGCTGAGTAAGTTATTATTAAGGTATATTTTTTCCACTACCATTAAATAACTGTAGGCAATGGGGAGTTAAGATTCTTAACACATATCCTAAATGGTAATAATTCCGGTGACTCTGTACTGGAAATGCTATGTGCAAGCTCCAGTGACTTATTACCCTGGACATGATATCCCCAGCTACTCTCTTAAATTTAAGCCAACCTTGGGTATGATATAGTATAAAACATACACTTTGTAACCTCAGGCATTCATGTGGTAAAACGCCCCAATATCTTTCTTTATATAAATGGACTCAGTTGGAATTTTGTATATTTATTGTATTTAAATTCTGCCTCAGTCCCCCAACAACCATGGAGGCTTTCTTGATGCCAGTAGGGTACACCTAGACTTATCAGTCAAGTGGTCAGATAGCTTTGGAAGACAACCAAAGCTTTAGCTGCCTGGCTCCAAAGCAGAAAATTTGTGCACACTAAACCCTGAAGATGACAGGTCTAGATATTTTCCATATGCAGATCAAAATTCATGTGTTCTTGTGTTGATGTGGCAGCACTTAATTACATCGGGATTGAAAATTCTTTGCCATCTTGAGTATAAACAATTGTCCTTGTATAAATCCTTGTGTTTTGTTTTTCTAAATATTTCCCAAATACTAGTAAAATATCCTTAAGACTAAAAGGGAGCACTTTATGAGAGTCTAATTATGCCATTCCATCAAATCTTTGGAAAAAGTTTTTACCTTTGGCATCAGATATTCTTGCCTTGTGGTGCCTGTCTTTCAAATGCGGCCCTAGGACTAACTTGGTACTTTCAGTTCTGGTCTAAGAGGGCTTCAGAAACCTTCTATTTCAATATTTTAAAAATGTCTTGAAATGTTTATGAGTCGGTAGTGAAGACCAGAGGCCATTTGTGGGCCTGCTCATTTGTATCGTATTTTATCTTGGTCCTGCTGTTTGTCTTGCTTGGTATTACTGAGTGATGATTTCACTCAGTAATTTAGCACTTTGAAGATATGTCATTCATGTTACTCATACATGTTGATAAATAAAAATATGTCTATTTTGATTAATACCTCCAAGCCCTTTATATCATTAATTATTCTCTGCATTAGCTGCTTAAGGGTGAGTCTGGTCCAAGATACACTTCAAAGCCTTTATTATTACTGGTAAAATTCTACTGGGCAGCCAGAAATTATTTTCCTTTATACCTTTAACCATATAAAAGGGAAATACTGTTTCATAAGTCAAGGACAAATATCCTTGTCAGTTTATCAAATGGCCAGACCATCATACTATGAGACTACAGCATATAAATTTATTCTATTCTATTTTTCACTGGGAAACAATTTATATTCATCTGAATCTTGCCAATTTTTATTCCTCATTTATCACATGGTTGCAGGACTCAGATATAAAAGCTTTAATTATCAGTTCATTAAGTTTATCTCTTGGGTCAGGAGTCAACAAACTAAGAACAAATCTGGCTCACTATTTGTCTTTGTGAAAAAAGTTTTATAGAAGCACAGCCATGCCCATATCCACTATTGTCCTTGGCTGGTTTCATTCTACAGAGGTAGTGCTGAGTAGTTGCAAAAAAGACCTTCTGGCCAACAAAGCCCAAAGCATTTTACACACACACGCGCTTGCACACACACACTTATTCATATATATATATATAATTGCCGACAATTTAGAATGTTATCCAGGAAATTTCTCTGACAAGATCAAAGCACTAACAGAGTTCAGCAAATTTTTTATGTTGAAGGATAGACATTAAAGACTGTAGGCTTTGTTGGCTGGAGACTCCTGTGTTATAGTAGGATTTGAAGGAATGGGACATTGAACAGGTATGTTTTAAGGATGGGGAAGGACGTGTCAGGAAAATCTTGAGTAGCGGGAGAGACCATGAGGGTATTGTTTGTTTAGGATGCTGGGGTGGAAGGAAGAAGAAACAGTACAAATAACCTTTTCAATTTTACAAATATTGACTCCAATGCCTTTTAATATATATATCTTATTTGCTTGAAATCTGAGAGCTTTCCTAAAGGAAGAAATTATATAATTCCTGCTATCATTTCTGTTAAAGGGTATCAGTGGAGTTTTCCAAAATAAATATTTTAAAATGTTTTTCTGTTTAACTCTGGAGCCATGAGCTTGCCTCACCTGACACCTTGTGGATGTTTAAAAACTAGCTCCCATCGCTTTGAGCAGTTACTAATTTCTGTCTGTTAACCAATCGGCCTGTTTAAAAACAACCCTTAGACTAAGGAGTGACCTACTTCTCAAGCTGACAATGCTTAAATTTAAGGAAGCTCTGGAAGTGTGCAACAACTTAATACATTTGTTGTTTCATTAATAGGTCACCAAAGTGGCAAGGATATTCAACCAGGGCTAATTAGGCCAGTTTGCAACTTATTCTGCTTTTGGTCTAAAAAATATAAGACACTGTGCTGGTGTGGAGTTCAGCATGACTGTGGGACAGAACAGGTAAGCTGATTGAGCTCCTGAAAAATATTCATTGGCTCAAAGAGATTTCCTTTGGCCCATTTAAACCGTTTGCAGTGGTGTGGGGAGGGAGGGCAGTGAATATTAGAACCTGAAAGAGCCTGGGTTTCAACCTCAGTAACCTCAGCTAATTAGCTTTTAAACAAGTAATTATGTTGTAGCTAAATGTGCCTTTGGGCTAAATTGCGGTCTTTGTAAGCAATCAATTTCCAAAATTTTATTTAACCCCTCTAAGGATGAATTTTAGGAAATAATATAAAAGTGAATATTAGAAAGGGAATAAAATAGGGTCGCAGTCTCATATAATGGTGAACGCATGGGCTTTAGAGCCAGCCGGGGTTTAACACTGATTCCATGTCTTGCTCCTCTTGGGTAAGGTACTTAATGCCTCCCAACTTCAGTTTTTACCTGAGAACTGGAGGGGAGGTGGAGTGAGGAATAATGCAGCACAACCTGGATACAAACATCTTTAGTTCTACGGAGTATAAATATAAAATGAGATTTACTGGGGGAATTTCTTAGGCAGAGAAGCAGCAGGATACACTTCTCTCATCTCCCTACCCCTATTCTCGTTATTCCTCTGAGAACCATGTTCAGGCCAGGCAGGGCTAGAGACACTGTCCAAGTAATATTAGGGACACGTCATCCAAAGATCACAGCCTGTGATCAGACCAAATTAAACTTACTGACCTGATGCAACTAGTCAGGGCAAGGGCGGGGGCAGTCCAGGGGTACCGGGGAAGGCTATCCTGAACAAAAGAGAAGATTGGCATGTATTTTGGGTCTGGGTTCTTGCTGAAGGATTCTGAGAGGGGTGGAAGGGAAGCAAGAATGAAAATAAAACTGTCTGGAGCAGCATTAGCTGAAGAGCAGCAATCATTCAAAGGGTTGTTATGCTGTTTGACAAGTGCAGACCTTGGGAGAAGAAATGTTTTCTTTTAACGTTTCCAGCTGGTCTTACCTGTGTGTGTCTGTCTTCGCAGTATGAATAATGGCAGGAGTGGGTTTTTCTTTTTCTTTTTCTCTTTTTTGTTAGGGCTTATTATCATTCTTTTGGCCCTAGACATTTCATTCTTTTAATACTCAAGGAGATTGACGACTCACCCTTATCACATCGCCTAAGTTGTCAAACGTTCCTGTTCTCCTCAAAACACCATAGTAACATGTATATGAAGTAACACTGAGTTTAATAGTTACTGCAGTAAGGAAAGTGCCATCTTGACAGGAGCTCAGAAGAGGGAGGCACTCTATTTTGCTGAGGAGGCAGCTGGGTGATCAGTACATTGTTCGGATAAATGAATTTTGAGTGAGTTATAGAGGAAAGAATCCAGGCCCCTATTAGTTTACATATTTATCTTCCTGGGTAATAATTTCCTGAAATAAGTGATAAATCCTATTGATTCAGACAGCTTCTGTTCTCAAGGATGAGTAGAGAGTTGGGAGGGATGCTTAGCATGTCACTATTGGGCTTCGTTGCCAAAGAGTCCCGGGTTAGGCCATCACCATCTGAAGCATGGGTTATCTCTCCTCAGGAGGTAATACCACTATGTCACAAGTTTGTTCTACTAAATAATGTGTGTGTGTATGTTTGTGTGTGTGTGTATTCACACAACACACAATATATTGTAAGTGCTCACTAAATTATTCTGTTTTTATCATCATTAGAAATAGTACCTACATGGATTGAGGCATCAAAGTTATCAGTTAGGAAGTTTTTGTGCTGCTTTCATATTTCTATAACATTTTTTCGAAGGGGGAAGCCGAAACAAGAGTCCCTCATTTTAGAATACATCAAGACTATTTTATTAATATATGTCTTTCCATTTTTCTCAGGAAAACCTTGAGAATGGCAGTACCTGGAAACAAAGAACTGAATCTGTCTTACAGAACGGACTCAGACGAGAAAGCCTGGCCCATGTGTCAGGTTATGACCCCAAGGACAAGAGCTATGACAATGTGGCATTTGAGAAGATTACCCATTTTTAAGGCAGCACGTGCATGCAATACACACACACACATACAGATCTACATAATCCACATACTTCTTGCCTATTGGTTAGTAGTTTTGCATAGTTGCCACTGGTAGAAGACAAGAATCTCTGATGTCTATTTTTACTTATTTATACAAATAAAATAACTGTGCCCTAGGATAGTCTTTGGAAGATCCAAACCTTCAAGTGAGAAAAAACAGTCAAGCCTTATGTGCCCTAGTGACTTCCTTCTTGAATAAATTGACTGGATTTCATCATAGTACAAGGAATTATTCTCTGTTTTGCTTGTGTCATATTAAACTTCTTTTTGATAATTTTTTAACCATCAGATATCTTGGAGTTTAGAGGCAGAATGAGGATAAGAACATGCATATTAAATGCTTCTCTGTCTCTGCTTATTAAACAAGGGAATGGCATCTACCTCACTCCCATGCCTTACATATGTATAGACACATTTTACATACTCCCCATTCTGCAGCTTCAGGTGGAACACACAGCTGCTACTAATACCCCCGCCACACACACATCTTTATGTCCTCTTCCAGTCACTCCTGTACTTCAGCTGGCCTGGCCAAGGCTTAAAAATAGTTGTGTTCAGCACAGGAGAAGAGACTGGAATTCCTGATTAGTGAAAACAGTTATAACTACTCTTCTCCCTTTGGGAATTCAGTATAGTATTTCTTTTTCTTTTTTTATCACCTTACAATGAAAAATTGACTCTGTGCTCAACAAGAAGTGTGTAGCCTTTCTTGGAGATGGATAAAGAAGAAAAAAATGTACTATAAGAAACGATTAGGACAGCGTCATGTAAAATAGTCTGCCAGCCCACAGAAGATTTCACCAGCCATTGTTTATTTTTGTTTGTTTGCTTGTTTTTGTTTTTTTGATACAAAATACCTTGTCCACAGGATTTATATTCTGCTCATTCAGCCCATACTCACAAGCTCAATGTGCTACAATAGTAGATCTTATTAACTGAACTCTAGTAGATAATTTTTTACAGTTCTGGAGTAAGAAGGGACAAAAAAATCAAAAGGTGAGTTAACAAGTGGAGATGCAGTGAAAATTTTCTGGGAGAAGCAAAAAAAAATTCTTTAAAAGGTAAAGAAAAGAACTAGTACCACAGGGGTTAGAAGAAAGGCAGGTATCTTATGGCAGGTGTCAGATATTTATTTTGGTGGCCAGGTAAGAGCAAGAGGCCTAGAAACAGTATGTCAGCAAAGTAAGAAAAAATGGTCCAAATAGGCAAGGATAAGGACTCTGGAAAACTGTGCTGTCTAAATGTTACCCAAAAGAAAGAAACCTTAAAAAAAAATGAGATAGGGAATATTATGTAATCAGTATTTATTATTAGGGAGAGAAGATAGGGAAAATCAATAAAGGAATTAAAAAAAATGACAACTGGCATTTATAAGCCACAGCTCAATGCTCATCTTCTCTCAAGTAGGAGAGGAGAATAGATGGAGAGAAAGAGAGATTTGGGAAGTGGTTTTAAAAGAGATGAGGAAAAGTACATTTGAAAAAAGCTGAAGGAAGGAAAAAAGGGGGTATGCTTGGAAAACATTTGAAATTGAGAAGAAACAAAATTTCTAGAAACATTTTGAGGTTTAGCAAGCTAATGAAAAGTGTTAATCTAAAGATTTGCAAATTAAGAGTTGCAGTTATTTTCCAAATGACTTAGTAGTTATGACATTCGTATACATTTTAACTTTAAAAATTAGATGAGTGTTGAAATCTGGGTGAAACCTCATTGGCATATATATTTGGAATATATTTCAAATTTTGAACTTTCACTTGAAATTACACAAAAATAAAGTACTATATGGTGTTTCATTTCACTCACAAATTCTCTAATTTTGCTCACAAATTATGCTATAGGTATTTCAGCCCCTTTTAGTTCAGTGCTGGAAAGTACTAGGTTAAAACTTAACCAGAAATTTTTTTAGGGTCCTTTTTTTTCAGTCACAAATTTTCTAACCTGGAGTGTTATCAAAAAGTAAGTTGACTTACAAATGGAAGATAGTAATATTATCTTATTATATAAACCTCACACATTCTTCCTAATTGAATAAACATGCAAAACTCTAAGGCTTCAAGTAGGAAGAGATAGAAATCCACAGGAGAATCATCTTCCACAGTGTATAGAATCCGCATTTGTTGTGTAGGACCGCAAAAGAGAATCAGGAAGTATAGTCAATAGATTCGGCTCTCATAGCACACCTCTCCTGCCCTCGCTCTGCCAAACGCCAGCTCGGAACTGCGTAAAGGCCACTGGTACAGTGTAAGATCTGTTCCGTGCCAAGTTCAACCTAAACCATGACATGGGTTAAATTTGTGGCTTCCCCCCACCCCCCGCCTCCCACAGAATGACTAGGGATATCCTCTGTAAATGGGGCTATGAATGATGAGTTCCTAGGATGACCTAAAAGGTATCAAAACGTAGCCACTCTCTACGTTTTAAACACAACAAATATTGGCAAAAATGGAATGGAACGACCTCAATGCCTCTTACACTCATTCTGAATGAATCTGTTTTGATGACTGACATTGTCTTTGTCACCATTTGGAGAAAGATACAACTTATTGACTGAAGTGAGAAATTAGAGTCAAATAGCTTAGCTTCAGACTTAAGTTATGACACAAATTATCTCAGTAAACTTGGGCAAGGCTTTTTCAACTTTAGTTTATTTACAGAATAAAAGGAACAAAAGTTGTCCCTACTTAAAAATAAGATTGTCATGAGGTAAATCAAGTAGAGTAGCTAGTGCTGTGACTGGCTTGCATGGAACATTCAATGAAGAAAGGAAGAAAATGATATTCAGTGTAGTCACTTAAAGTTCAATTTGTTCACTGTTTCTCTTTAAGGTTTTTAAGATACTGGCATAGTGCATATATTACTGAAGTAGTTTGAGAATTAAAAATAACAAGGTAAACATAAGGTATAAAATAAAGTAATGCCATAAATTTCCAATCAGTAGCTTTGTTAATGCCAAATTTAAATAAAATATGATTTTCTGGAGAGTCATAAATTCTTGGAAAAAATACTGTGATAGACAAGTTTATTACTGAAAAATGAAATATTCATATCTATGGTTGAGTAGTACATTTAAAAATGGAAGCCTTGATAAGTAGGTAGCATCTTAATCCAAGTTTATGGCTCAGTGCTCAGTGTTCTCTAAACAGCAGTAGAAGGGGGAAGGGCTTTCCCTTTGTTTATTTAAATAGTATTTCTTGAATAAAAATTTTATTTTGAAACTTTGTGGGATTAGACCATTGTATTATAAAGGGGAAAAATAAACCACAGATGAAAAGGCTTGCAAACAGTATTTCAAAGAATATTACAGAAATATTTTTTGTGATATTATAATCTTAAGCAGTATTATGAAGATCAGATTGCTAAATAGAAATGAATAGAGGAGTTTTAATTGTTCTTTTAGAAATCAATTGTTTTAAAACATTGCAGAATTTTTAGCTTTCTGTATATACATTGGTATATTTAGAAACCTCATGTGCTCAATTACAATATTGTATGTAGGCTTACTGTTGAGTTAACCACTGTTATCCAGCATTCGTACCCTTGAAGTATAATATATTTTCAAACATCTTAATTTGTAATTGAATGACAAATGACATATATTAAAATGATAGAAAACTTTAATCAAGTGCAACTCATAACTGATAGTAAGCCACCTAATGGGTTTTGTTATCTCTAGTTCTTTGAAAAAAGTCAATACTATTATTTCCTCCTCCATTCTGATCTCCTGACCAAATCAACCTAGATTTGTTAACACCTGTGTGAACAACAAACATGAGCCCACTTTTCTAATACTTTACTTTTTGTATTTGAAATATCAGCTATTTTCAGAAGACATACATAGTTAAGTTTATAAACATTGGGCTACTTAATCACAACATTACCCTTACCTGGGTATCAGTGTATCAGTGGCTAATTAGAACCGATGACAAATAATCTTGCCCTATGGTAGTGAATGTTAGTTGATAATGATACTTCTGCATATCAATGGGAAATTTAAGACATTTCTATATTGCCAAAATGTTATGTAGCTTTTTCATAGAGCCCTGGAATACTTGTAAATTGAATGTTGTATTTACCCAAGTAGTTAATTTTAGGGGGAAATACCTGTAGAATGAGCATAGATATATAATTAAGCTACATAATTATTTTAATTGTTTTTTAAAATAAGTTCAGATTGAAGTGCATTCAAATGATCAATGTGAACATTCTCCACAGGGTTAAGGAATAAGATGCAAAATAATTATCTACCCTAAAATATTTTATATTAACTAATAGACTAAAGCAATTTTATTCAATAACCAAGTAAACATGTCAAAATTAGCTCTGACAAATTATATAACGACTTCTTTTTCAGTGTATTGAATATGCCTGTAAACTTGGGGCTACCCTAGGCTTAGAACAAGCATTTGTGTGCACACACAAGCGCATACACAGAAGTTACTTTATGACTTAATAGGTTACCTTGATCTTTTTTTCCTTAGGAATTTCCAGAAACAGCAATACACCTATTTTGTTTTGGTTTGTTTTTTAATATTAAGGTAAATGTATACACAACTATTCAGGGTATTCAGTTAATTCCCAGTTTCAAAACCTGTTTTGACACATTAAAAAGCTAAGAATAATTTCATGTGGTGTATTGATTTAATGTCCTATTGTAAGTAATTAGCACGTAAGAAAATATATGAGCAATTCCTAAATTGCTTATTTGTAACAGTAAAATATAGTCACGCAGAATGTGTGGAGAACTGAGCACGGTATTGGTCAATATCATAGTATCAGGCGATGGTATTGACTGATTTGGGACGACATTGCTAAGGTTTATATGTACCTTTTTTTTTTTTTACTATTTTCAAGAAGGCTGACCTGAAGACACCAGCTTAAAAATTGATTCAGTTTATGTCTACAGAGCAAAGCTCCCTGAAGTTAGCTTTCAAATTTCTTATGAGAGTTTGTTAGGAATGTTTAATGATTAACAATAATATATGCCTATATCTATATATCAATATCTATCTATCTATAGATACATAGGGAGAAAAAATCAGTATTTATAATCCTCTGGCTAAATCTATTATTGCAACATAATTTCCCCTATTGAGAACAAAAATGGAGAAATTCACTGCCTCCTCTGGTCTTCCCCACACCCTCTCTAACATTTTTTCTACTTGAAGGGTTCAATATAGAGACCAATAGCCACACATCCTGAAAAGAAAACATTGTTTATGTTGTTAAGTGCATTTTCATCTTTAACAGTAAAAAGTGGCACATTTATTTTTTCGTTGGAGTTTTCACTAAACTCTAAGCTACTTTATTTAGCTTCATAAACCTTAAAATAGATAATGAATAAAAAAACTCTTTTTTCCTTTGAATGTTAAAAGATGAACTCCATATTTTTTTTCAGTCAGAAAGAAGACAGGGTATGTGCACAGCAGATACTGAAATAGAATCTGCAAATCGGATACATTGTTTTTTCAGTAGAAAAGTCTCTATGTCCCCTTCACCATCTCCAAAACATTCTACAATTGTCTTTGCTACCAGATTTTTCTGACTATTTAATCCCTCTCTTCTCAGGAAAAAAATCATCAAAAATGTACACTGTGTCAAAAGCAGTGGGAAAAGTCAGCTCATACGACTTGGTAGAAAAGATATAAAATTTGGCCTACAGTGCTCACCTGGAAGTGAGGGGCATGTCCACTGACAAAATAATTATAAAGGCTTTGAAGCAGCTTGACTATCACATAGGGCTAGCCATCCCCATGACAATTGTTTCTGTCGGCATTATCTAAATGGATCTGTTAAATTTTACTTTTCAACTAGTAATTTAGGGGAGCTTTGCTTTTTGAAAAGCAAAGGGCAGAGACGCTGCTTTACCCACAGAGAGAATGATAATTGCGATGGAAATACATACGTTTGTACTGGGGCACACAAACACTGGTACAGTCATAGAGCAACGAGAGTGGATGGATCAGCTTCTTTTTCCAGAGGGTAGATTTTGATGGTACAAGAAATTGGATCGGGTCCCAAATATTGTATGAGTCTTTTCTCTACCGAACTGTGTGCTTCAATTTTACTTTCCTGAAAAAGATGCCTTCATGCGGATGTGGTTCGTATGCAGTAGCTATGTAATGTGTGTATTCTCTAGAAGGAAAACCACCAAATGTAGTCATGGAGGAGGTTTTTCAGATGAACCCAGATGGCAAATTCAATTGATCATAACTTACCACCATTGCAAATACATAAATTCTAGCTAGCACGATCTTCCCTTTGGACTATGTATTACTGCCATTATTTCATTTTGAATAGAAATGCCTGTAAGGGAAACTGACCGTTCCATCAGAAGCTGGGTTTTTCAGGCCATTCTAAAGGTTATTTTCTGAGCTACTGAGAATATCAAAGATAAGGTAAGATGTTAACTAGTTCCCTGGGTGTAACCTACAACTACTTCCAAAGTCTGTTATAACACTGTGATTTGGGAGAGAATGGAGTGGAAGTATCTGATGACTATAGCAGGCCTGAGTTGGGCATATCTTACAGAGAGTAAATGTTTTCTGATTTTACACACCAAAAGATAGGCCTAGCAATGTGTGTGAGTGTACACACACACACACACACACACACACACACACACACACCCTGCCCCCCCCCCCCAGCACTCTGGGCCTATATCTATCTGCCACAAATTGACAGATTAATCAATTCAGTCATATCTATTAAGTAACTCATCAGGCAACATGGATTTTCAATTTTAACCATCAAATAGATTTAAATCAAGTAGATTTTTAAAAAATGGTAAATTTGGTAGCCTGTTGTTGACAGCTGGCTATGATGCCCTTACATGTCTTCCTTCCTCTGCATGAACTATATCTGTGCTAAAATTCCTGTCCTAAAGAGATTTTGATGATAATTAGTAGAGTCAGCCCAAGTGTGAAAAAGAGGCATTATTACCCTCATAAGAGTTAAGCAAGCTTCCTCTCCCATCTGTTTCTAGCAGAAAGCATTATTAGGATCAATATGATACCCTACTGCACTTTCATTTGCAAATGCCTTGATGATGACAATGAATTTGTCAGAAGACAAAGAGTCAAAACTTTTTAAGCATGTGATAAAGGGCTTGTCAGAACCGGAAACTGTTGCCATGTGGAGCTAAAGAATAAGCAATTCCCTTTCCCCATTCACACTCAACAAATCCCAATTTAATATTTAAAAATCAGGCAGGAGTAAATTTAACATGCAAATTATAGGAAAATATATCACATGATAATTTATTGAGTGAAAAAGGTTCTTTTTCATTCCGTTCTACAATAGGTTGTGCTAAGAGTTGTTTTGAAGGAATGTGCAGCATTTGGAAGTTGTACCTCATGCAGTCACTCAGCAGCATTTTATCTAAAAGTGCATGCACAGACTCAGACAATTACAAACTATTTTTGTTATGGTCTCAGGAAATTTTCCACACAATATACTGTGAAAGCACTTCAGCTTTGAACAACTTGTCAAGGTTGACTACATGCACATATATATTAATTTGCTTGAAAAGACAACAATTTAGAATATCAAAATATATAAGCAGCATTCATGTAATACAGAATTCCTGAGAAGAGTGTGTGCTATATAAATCTTTGAGAAATAATCTGTATTCACTTGAAAACCATGATATAAAACATTTCAACTAAAGCAGAATGATTTAAAACTAACATAATGTGAAGGGCTCGCTGTCAATATTTTGTTGTCAACCATGATGAAGGCATAGCTAAATTCTACTGCATTGTTTCAACAAGAGGAAAATTTCAGATGCTTTTTCATTGTTTCTCCCATTTTCCATCATTTTCAAAAATATCAAGAAGGCATTTTCTAAATCAATGTGCTATGCTTTGTAATTTAAAATATTTTTTTTTATTTTCCTGTTTTTCTCTCTAGGCAATTGATATAATTTTAAACCTTGATGGTGGTTGTATAAAAATAACTCAGAAAGAGAAGAAGTCTGAAGGGCACAGCTGTCACTATTCTTTGCTCTTGTGTCCCTTATTTGAAAAAAACATAAATGTCAGGTTATGGACCTGACTGACATTTATGTCTTCAACAGGCCTAGAGAGTAATGATTCTCAGGCCTGTGTCTACATTTAACTAAGAAAGAAGAGGGAATGCAAATTCTATGAAAATGGAGTTTAAAACTTCATTATAGAGTTAGTAAAGTAGGTTGCTGATGACCAGGCAGCAGAAACATCTGTGGAATTTGAATGGAAAAGTCTCATGCGGCAAGGCCATGTGATATATGTTTAGAATATGAGGTCCTTCCTCTTGCTCAGAATCAAAAGACAACTAAGGAAGTGAATTTTTTTTGTCAAAATCAACCAAAGTCTATAACTTTTCGATAGAAGGAAAGAAGGAAGAGTTAAAAAAAAAACTTGGTATTAGAATTATAAAAATAATTCTCTAGTAAGAGAAACTTAGTAATTTTCTTACTAGAGAAAAGCTAGCATATACATAAAGTAGCTTTATTACCATTGGGTTTAATTTTGTCTTTATGAATTTTGGAAATAACTGTACTTTGTTTAATTGGATAAATAATAATCACAATAATTGCACCTATGTGTAAATGTGTGAGTATGTTATTCCTCACCCTATTCTCAGAGGAAGAAGACTGAGATTAGCTTTGACTGTTTTTCAAGGACAAGTGTCTTGATTTCTATCATACATTTCCTTAATTCAACTCTTCTTTCTCTTCTCTTGCTGCCCCCATAGCTTATGCCTTCACCAGATGTTCTGTAGTTCAATGTCCCATCCTTCCCACCTCGCCCATCTGTGAACAGTCACACTCAAAGATACAGAGTTGACACCAAAATAGCAACTCCACAAAAAAGCAAATCTCTCACAATTAATTTGTCTTTGCATCTAGAGAGTTTTCAAAAGTAAATCAAATCAACCTATCAAAGAAATAACAGAAAACTCACCTCAGTAATGAAAGTAAAATTCAAAAATATGTGTCAATGTTACAAGTAATACAAATTTATATTCATGCATTGTTTTCATTAATTCATGAGCAAGAGTGCACATTGTTGGAAAAGCAAAAGAGTTGAAAAGCATCTGGCTTCTGTTTTCCTGAATAAACGAGTCACGACGGCATATGGTGGAACTGGTCTCAGAGCTGCAGAAATTGTAACTTGCATTACATATTGTCAAAGTGCAAAGGTACCAGGGAAACCAAAATATTTACAGTATTTCAAATTATTCTGAGTTGATGTAATGTATCAGCAAGGGGAAATAAATATACTATAAACAGCTTTCCATGGTAAAATATGAATTAGTAATGTTCTAAATGACATGAGAATAAACACCTGTACTTTGTAAGCATGTGGCTCTATTGGCATTTAGTAAAAAAAAAAAAATCCAGTGTAACTGGCTCTGCCAGTGATATGATAGACTTGAATAGAATGCAATAGAACATTATTTCAGTGAATAGTATTCTTTTCAGGATCTCGGATTTTTGGTTTGACAACTAAAGCTAATGTGCAACTCTTCAACTGCATAGTCAATGTAGAGCAGCATAGAGTCCCTGTGGCACAGGTCCATAATCTCAGCAAGAAACAAGGGAAATTCTTATGAACCAGTAAGCAGAAGGGACATGGATTTCTGGTAGGAAAGGCAATCCTTGACTTAAGTTATTTCTTATGAGTATCTTAACTCAACCTAATCTAAACTCAAAGTCAGATTAGAACGTGAGTGAAAATCACACTATACTTGAAGCCATGCCTGGCTTGCGAACATTTACATGGACCTCTGTTTCTAGAAACCTCAGCATCACCCTTCCTATTACCTACAGCTGATGGAAGGTGGAGGTCTTCGAACATACAGCTCCCTGAGGCTTCATTTGTGAATTATATCCTGGCTTCCTGCAATGTCAACCTAACCATTTTTAAATGTCGTTAAGTCATATTTTTCCCCCTAGAAGCTTGGATGTTCTAAACCCAAGAAATGGCTGTGATGCATTTCCAAGTAGAATATTACCCATATGATTTGCCAGGAATGCTCTCCTCCCAGATCCCACCTAGACTTTGAAGTAGCTATCCCTCCCACTAATGGTATTGTCCCTATTGGGCAAAAGGTATTTACTAAGGCCATTCATGGTGAACAGGATGACCACTTTTCCTCCGCTGTTGTTGCAAATGCTCTAGCTCTGCCTCATACATCATTTCTTGGACTAAGTACTTCTCCCGTCGTATTCGGTCATAAAGTTTTTTTGGTACATCTGGAATCAGGTATGCGATGAATGACTTGATCCCAAAAACAAGGTGCTGCAAATTTAAGAAGAAAAAGTACACTTTTGAAAGACTCTGAAATGCCCATTATAAAACAGAACAATAATGAACAATGTTGCAATTGCCTTACAATCAATCTTCAGAACTCAGTATATATGATCTAGAATATTAATATTTAAAAAATTATATTGGGAATACTACTGTTGCCTCATATCACATAGGTACAAGATCACATGCAGGAAAACCCATGTGCAATGGATGGTGATCCAGCCTATAAACGGGAGAGACTGTAGTCTGTCTGTGATGCTGGGATTAGACTCAACCTCCAGCATGTGAATTTTTCAGAACTTCTATTCTATGAAGTTCTTTCTCATTACAGATGCTTTAAAATTTTTATAATTGTTACATAATTATTCTATGATAAAAATATTTAAACAAAATAGACTGATAAAAGTATTATATATAAACATCAGGAATGAAAATTGAAAGGTAATGTGTCTGTGGTTAAAAGTACATATGATAAAGGAGACTGCCTATGTGTGCACACTCTAACAGTCTGACACAGATGTGTAACCTTATGCAAATCACCTAAGTTCTTTGTGCAAACACTTCTAATAGTGATGATAACAGTATCTCTTAAAGGTTAGTATGAGGATGAAGGGAGTATAAGCACTACTTAAATATTACCTCGTATTATTATGAATGCATCCTTTGTCTTCTCCCATAAAGAAATGTAGATCTTTCAGTTTCTCAGTAAAGACAAAAAAAGTCTGAGGGTGATAGAGTTATTGTGATCTATGGGAAAGAACCCATTTACCTAAAGGACTTTGTGACAATAGTCTCTCTCTGCGGGAAGAAAGATTTCAAGGCACTTTTAACTGAGCTTGCTCTATGTGTCCCAGGAAACTGCACTGTATAGTGGGTCATAGGAAGCAGGTCAAATTTTCCATAGAAACGCAGGCTAGGAGTTTCTTTCCTCGCTACCTTTTTCTCTCTGTAACTTTAGCCATAGGAAATAGATGCCTTCAAAGTCTGTCCACAGACCTTGGTGGTACCTTAGAGAATGGATAATATATCTCAGTGCTAAGGTCTTCACTATATCAAGCTCGTTGCTGGTTTTATGCTAAGCAAGACAACAATTCTGTAGCTTCTCTAAAATTTCTTCATGAGACTACAATCTAGTATTACTGCCTGACTCTTACAATCTAAATCTATGCAATTTTTATAAAAGTGTTCTCAGGCATAATTGACTAAATTATGCAATGTCTCATATTAATACACATGATCAACTGTAATTAGAGTTGATTGCTCAGGAAATAAGCTTCTCCATCCTGGTGAATAGGTATGAATTATTCTCTCAGATGATAAAAAATGTCCTTTCCTTTTAAAATTTGGTTATTAGGAGGCTCAAAACCAAATTTTTCAGTTCACATGGAAGTAGGTTTTTATCCTCATTTTCCTGGTACAAATACCCACCCACTAACCTACTTTCTTACATTTTTCAGCTATTGCTGTTTTGCACTTGTTAGAGTGATTTCATTGTATCTGAACCTTTTACTGGAATGTAGTCCAATCCTTTTTTGAAAGTCAGTAATGAGCTTACTTCAAAGAGGCAACTAATGTATCAGCTGGAAAAGTAGGTACCTATAGTTATTTTATCAGTTTGTGACTAACCTCAAACACAATAATGAAGGCCAATCGAGCAGCGAGGATATGCCAGTATTGTAAGGTGAACTCATAGGGTTTGGAACTCCAAGGGGGACTTCTGTAGTCTCGGTATCTAAAATCCCCAAAAAACAAAAAACAATTTTGAAGAGGTCCCAAATATTCTTGATTTGCCCACACTCCAAAAGGACAGTTTAAATGGGCTCATTAACATGGAGAGGGAAGAGATGGAATGATGAAAGCAAGAAGAAAGGATGGCTATAATTCATAAGTCAGTACCTGCAATAACCAGATTTCCCCATACCAAGCTCACTCAGGTCGAAGAAGGATAAGCTATTGTTGACGTATCCCTTTAAACAACTGGAAGAAAAGAAAAGTATCATGTAATTCAGAGATTCATAAGTTTCTAGTCCAATTTCTTCATTACAAATGATAAGATTTGGTAAGTATCATCATTCCTTTCATTCTAATTATAAACTCTTAGCATCTCAGCACTCTGATTCTATTCCCTAACTCCCATTACATCTGTATTTAATGAGACAGACTCTTGTCTGACATTTTTTCCCCAAAGTTTCCACTTTACATGTTTATTTGGTTTACATTTATTAAGTGCTCATTATGCACTAGGTATTGGTAATTACTTCCTGTGGATTAAAGCCTTATAAATGTTTCATAAATATGCATATAATATAATTTGGTTAATTATAATTAAACAGCCAATCAATGAGTATGTTTATTTGTGATGTATTTATTACTTAATATATATTTATTGAAAATGTCATTTTGTTAGAAAAATTCCAGAGTCTTGGTATTCAACAGTGAACAAAACATGTAAAAACCCCATACCCTGGTGCTTATATATTAAATTGTGATCAGGACTTTTACAATAATCTCCATCGTGTAAATTGAAGAACTAAGGTTTAAGAGACTAAATAACTTTCTCCAGGTCTATAATTCTTAAAATTTTTGGTCTCAGGTGCCCTTTGCATTTTTTAAAGATAAAATCTCAAAGATCATTTTTTAGGGGTGTATATCTATTGATATTTAACTCATTAGAAATTTAAACTGGGAAATTTAGAAAATATTTCTCTAACAATTAATTTAAAATAACTATCAAATACAATAAAAATTAATAGAAATAACACATTTTAAGAAAAATAGCTATATTTTTCAAAAGAAAAATGTAGTGAAAAATTACATTGTTTTACATGTTTGCAAATTCCTTTAATGCTTATTTTAATATTTAGAAGACAACTAGATTCCCATATCTCATTACATTTTCATTAAATCTCTTGCAATATGTTATTTGGATTAAAGATTAGGTAGAGAGTCTGTGCTCAAAAATACAAATGGTTGGAAAAAGAAGGACTATTTTCATAATATTTCAGATAGTTGTTGATATTTTTCTTGGATATTACAACAAAACTCTATATCTGGTCATTTCTTACAGATCAGTTGCAAGTGGAATCTAAACATATCAATAAAGTTTTCATATGTAATTATATTAAAATCTATAGTTTTATCTTGAATTTTTAATTTATTTTTTTTACCTAAAAATGATTTTGCAACATCAAATATGGGTCATTTGAAAAATGTTCTGTCAATTATACAGATCTTCCAAATGTTGATATATTTTTACTATAGGCTATGAAGCATCACAAATTGATTGATTTTTATTAGAAAAAAAACCCCTATAAATCTGGAAAGCTTTCAAGCTCATATTGGTAGATAAAAGTTATTCGAAATTCTAATTTTCACTTCAAATCTTAAACTTCATTAACAGTAACAAACACTGCCCATTATTTCTTTAAAATGATAAGATAGTTTTGTGCATTTTATAAAAGAGTGTCTGCTTAATACCCAAGCCTGAATAATCATGGGTTGGCAATCCTTATTCCAGGCTAAAACAGTTTGTTGAGTTAGCAGCTCCAACGAGCATACGGTCCTTTTCTTTGAGATGAACATCACTTTTTGATACGTAAGTGAAGTGTTTTAAGCACTCTATGCATTTTGTCTTTTTCAAAAAGACATTTATTCAAGAGTAGAGATTTGATGAAATTAATACTTATTACTGTTTCATCAAGGACATTCTGAAATTTCCCACTAGCACTTTTGAAATGGTGATTATACAATGGTGAGAAATACTATCATATACTAGTGTTCTTTGGTGCCACTGCCTTGAATTAAGCAGAGTCACCAGAAAAATTTACCCCAGTTGCTTTCGCACTGTCAGTGCAAACGTTAATATGGTGAAAAAAAAGCAGCTGTGTCTTAGTATTATTATTAAAGTGGTATTGGCCTCATGGACCCTGAACGATATCTGTAGAACACACATTGAGAACCGCTTTGCCCAGGGCAAAGAGCTGTTAGTACCAGGGTTCAAATGCACATCTAGCCCATTCTAAACTCAGAATTCTTAAGTACATGGCCACACTGGCTTCACTCCCGTCCCTGTCACAGACCTCATAATTTACCATTTCAACTGTTGTCATGCCAGAACCCTCTTCTTCATCGCTTTCTTATGTTTTTGTCACCTTGCCTTGAAAATTTACAATCTGAATGACTACTCCAATTTAGCTGCTAAGCATATCTTGAAAACAATTAAATAGAAGGATGACCCCATGTGTGTGTGTGCTTTCAACTTCACATGAGCCCTTTGCATCTCTTGAAATTATTCTATATCCTTAGTCATTCAATGTGGAGAAAGGGTGGGGTGCTCTCTCTAGACTTGAAAGATAGGTCTTGAAAATATTCAACAAATCTCATTTTCTTTTGCCTCTAGGTGGCAGTAAAAACACCAGCAAATAATGCTTCTAAGGAAGAAGGCTGTTGAACATATCTACACATTTTAAATCTTTGAAATCTGTTTCTAGGCATTTTGAATTAAGGAAAAAAAAAGGGCTTTTTTTTTTTTGTTTTTCACTATTAATAATAAAACCAGTTTAGCTAGTGTTTTACAGTACATAAAATGTTACCTTGCACATCATTTCTTAATCACGGGTCCAGATTGTTGACATTCCTTTGAGTAAAAGGTAAAGTTAGAACTTGAACCTAGGCTGTTTGACTTCAAGTTAAAATTCCTTGAAAAGACTCTAAAAAATATTTTTTTAAATCTCATGCCTTTATTACCTCTCTGAAAAACTGAAACATTTATGTTCGGAAAGGCATTTCAGTGTTCTAAGAAAACATCAGTTCATCAGCAGATCTAAGGACTGATGTCACTCTAAACCAGGGCTCAGTTGTTGGGGCACATGTCCTGCGTCTAGATAAGACACATGCCCAAAACTGCTCCTGAAGGAAGTAAGAGAACCGGCTTCTCTTATCACTGCTTTATCTTCTGTTACAACTTCCACATCAAAGGCTAATCTCCAACTAAAACTCCATTTTCCCTCTGTTCCCCAAATCCAGTCTCTCCTGCATTCTTTCTTAATACCAGCATTCAGGAAGAAAAAATCTGAAAAATCCCATAGTCCCCAAGGCAGTGGTTCTAAACTGGATGATCCTGTCCCCCAGGGGAGATCTGGAAATGACTGGAAACATTTTTGGTTGTTACAACTCGGGGAGTAGAGAGGTTGCTATTGCATGTACTGGGTTAGGGCCAAGGCTGCTGCTAAACATCCTATAATGCACAGGACAGCTCGCTGTAAATTCCTTTAGAAGAATTTCTAGTCACATAGCTGACAGTTCTTTCTTCATTTGTATGTCTCCACCAACTAGCTTTATTCTCTTCAGCAATTTCATTAACCAGTGTGGGCCTCAATTTCCCCATCTATGTAGTCAAAAGATAGCATTGGGTGATTTCTAAGGCCTCTTCCAGTTCTAAATTTCACTTCTAAATACATTATGACACCTTTCTTTAAAAAACATTTTAATGTCAGTGATACGTTTACAAGAGAAAACATGGAGACATTCTGAAATTATTTACTGTAAAACACTGTTTTCCTTTTTATCCCACTTGATTTCTCCAATAAACACATTATAAATGCAATGGTCAGAAACACTGCCCTTGTCACAGAACAAAACTTCCCAATAAGTTCTCACTTCAATTACAAACATAAAATATATCAGAAAAATGTGTAAATTTCAACCTTACTTTTCACCATAGTCGAAATGTCTTGCACAGGGGCCATATTTGTATTCATACACAAAACGTGGGATGTAATCAGATGTTATAGCTATTACAAATGCATTGGTAATCACAGCCAATATACCAATTCCTTCAAGAATTCCATACCATATACCTAGTAGGATAAAGATTGAAGATAATGAATAAAATTTAAAAAAACCCTCTCATCAATCTTAGTTTGAAACGAATGTTTTATTTATGTTGGAATCACAGCTCTGTCGATTATTTAATTTCTTGGTATAGTATTTCACTACAGATAAAACAGCTATTGCATGTTTTTCCATAGAGGAAAGATAGACCCCTGTCTTGAAAGATCTGAATATTAAAATACCATTAGGAATTGGTTTATGTCTATAATAATAAGACATGGTACAGCTGCTTCGAAACTTAATTACAACTTATTGAAATAATAAAAATAACAAGCAAAACCATTTAGTTAGTTGCATATCATTGGGTAAAGTGTGAAATATATGTACTCACTATGGGTTTTGCATTTATCTTTGTCAAGTACTTTTTAAAGTAAAAATACAAGAAAGGAAACCAAGTTTGTTATCAAGACCTGCAAATCACTGGTTGACATTTTCTGCTTCTAAAGATGGCAATCTCACATCATAAGAGTCACACAAGGAAAGCTTTTGAAATTGCATAGAGTATCAATATACTATTGGTTATAGTCAAAACTATGTTTTAAACAGGGCAAAACTTAGCTTTAAAAAATACCGACATACAATTTTTAAAAAGTTTTAGAAAAAACACTCAAAGTGCTCGAGGTGATTGTACAGATTGGCAACTTTCTCCCTGCAACCATGCCCAGCTTCTTTATTTTCAATCTTTATAATGTATCTACATTGCATTGTAAAGAAAAATATAAAAATAAAAACAAAAAAGATGTTAACATTTCCCTGGTTGGAAAGATTGTAAGACCAAGAAATCAGGATGCATTAAAAAAATACAATATTTGAATACATGAAAATTTAACATTTATTTTTTACAAACATAACACTATTTAGTCAAAAGAAAACAATAGCCAGGGAGAAAATATTTGCTTCATATAAAACACACAAAATGTTGTTATTTGTTATCAGTATACAAAAATATCCTAAAATTTTAATAAAGCAAACCATCCAAGAAAAAAATGAGCAAATAATCCAAATGAACAATTTGGTATAAAAATATAAATAACAAATACATATATTAAAAAGTTTTCAATCACTAGTACTCAGAGAAATGTGCTTCAAAAGATAACATTTTTGAAAATCCACCAGACTGTTGAAGATTGGAAAGTCTTATACCACCCAGTGTTATTTAGAAATTGAGGAAACAAAAACTGTTTGAGGTAGTTGTTTGAAATATGACTTTGTTACAATGTTTGTGGTAATTAATCTCATGTTTTTAATATTTAAAGTATGAATATAATTTAATTTAGTCCTTTTTAGGATCTATACTGCACATTCATATATATGGATATGTGATATATAACACATATATATCGATGTCTATATGTATATTTATATATATTTATCTATAGCTATATGTATGTTTATTCCTGTTTGTAGTTAGGAAATTAAGTAAATGTCTAAAAAATTCAGGTCATTCATATTATGAATATTACTACTCTATTTAAATGAATTACACCAATATGTTTTGAGTTGGAGGATCTTTATGAAGAAAAAAGGCAGAACCCATAAATATGTCCATAAATATTTTTTTATACTTCTATGAGCAAGAAAAACATTGACAAAGGATATATGACTAATTGATACCATCAAATCCCTTAAGTAGAAGGGAAAGGTAAAGGTGGGGAGAGTATTATTAATTGTTTTTATACATTTGTGTCATCTGGTTTGAGCGAGACAACCTAGCAAAATTTAAAAAAATAGTAATCTATGCATTGGAAAGTGCAATAAACACAAAAGCTAAAATTGGACTTTTATCTTTTTCCTTTGAGTTATTTTTTAGATTTCCTTTAATGTGCTTACATTATTTTAATAATATAATAATAAATATATCCACATTAAATAACAGCATATTAACATAATGAATGTTAGTTGTTTCAATAAATGGGAAATCAGGTTGAATGGCATTAAATCTCTGCAGACCAGTATATTGTAAACAGACTTTGGTGGTTGTTGAATACAAGTAAGAGTTATATCAACTGAAAAAGTAAACTCAGAATACTATAAAAAAAAAACCCAAAACAACGTATGGATTTTCTTTTCCAATATACTTTGAATTTCTATTACAAAACCAGTTTATTAAAACATTATGCCAAGAATAAGTAGATCAATGTACAAATGAAGGTTCTAGCAATATACCTAAGTTTATAGGGAATTTGGTATAAGAAAATAGAGATAACTCAAACAAGTTTAAAAGAGAAGAGTTGCTTAATAGTTTTAGAAATATTGGCTATCCATTAGAAAAAAAAAGCTAGATCTCAATTTTAACCCCTTAATTAACAGCAAATTTCAGATAGATCAATACTTTAAATAAAATCACACAATTCTAACAAACAAAAGGAGAACGAAACATATAGCTAAAATACAAAACAATGAAAAATATGGGTGAAAAATCTTGAGTTCTAAAGGAATATTTTTAAGAATGCCACAAAAATAACAACTATAAGGGAGTTGTATCAACTTCGTTCTGTATGCTCTTTAAAACCTTATGCATGGAAATGTAAAAAAAAAATTAAAAATGAGCATTTGAAAATATTCACAACATTTATATCAAAGTTTAGTATTTTTAATATGAGATAAAGATTGCCAAGTCAGATATGATGGTCAAAGGTCAAAAACGCAATTAGAGAAAAAGAGATAAAAAAGTATTAATCTCACAGTTATAATACAAATGCAGGTAAATCTAACATATCATTTTCCTTCCTATTATTGTTGAGGATGGAACAACAAAAAACCTGATTACATCTGGAATTGTTGAGAAAATGAAGAAATGAGCATTCATTCACTATGGTGGGAGATTAAATTGGCAAAATATCTCTGAGGGATATGTCAACAGATTATCAAAATTTTAAATGTCCATGCTCTGTGGCACAGGAGTTTCACTCTAGCAATTAGAGGAAATACTAAGACAAAGTATGCACAAAGATAGTCACCTACATGTTGTTTACGAAAGCAAGAACTGGAGCAATCTGAACATCATCTGTAAACAAGTGGCTGTTTTTTTTTAAATGTCATACAACATATAACAGAAATCTGTTTATACAATGGAATACTAGTTGGCCATAAAAAGGAAGAAAATTTTACCCTTTGAGACAGCATGGATGGGCCTGAAGAATATTATGCTAAGTGAAATAAGTCAGTCAGGGAAAGACAAAATACCATATGATTTCACTCATATGTGGAATCTAATGAATGAACTGAACAGACAAGCAAAATAGAGACAGACTCATAGATAGAGAACAGATGACAGCTAGAGAGGGGGAGAGATTAGGGGATGAAGGAATTGAGCAAAAAGGGAAAAGGACTCATGGACATGGACAACAGTGTGGTGATTGCTGCGGGGAGGGGGCATAAGGGACTACATGGTAATGGAAAAAAATACAATAAAGACTAAATTTTAAAAAACTGAAGAATGAGGCAGAGCTATATTTATTAACATAGAAAGATGCATGTGAGATCCCTTCTAGTGACAAATAAGTTTATGAAATAGCATGTTTAGTATGAACCTATTCTCAACTTAGTTTTTCTTTCTTCCTTCCTCCTTCCCTTTTTTCCTTCCTTTCTTTTTTCTCCCTTCCTTCCTCCCTCCTTTTTCTGTTCTTCCCTTTCCTTTTCTCCTTTTGTCCTTCCATCCTTCCTCTCCTTCTCCTTCCTTCTTTCTTTTCCTCCCTCCCTCCGTCCTCCCTCCCTTCCTTCCTTTCTTCCTCTTTTCTTTTTCTTTCTTTCTTTTCTTTCTCTTTCTTTCTTTCTTTTTTCTTTCTTTCTTTTTCTTTCATTCTTTCTTTTTCTTTCTTTTTCTTTCGTTCTTTCTTTTTCTTTCTTTTCTTTCTTTCTTTCTTTTCTTTCTTTCCTTTCTTTCTTTCTTTCCTTTCTTTCTTTCTTCCTTCCCTCCTTCCTCCCTCCCTTCCTTCCTTCCTTCCTTCCTCTCTCCCTCCTCTTTCCTCTTTTTCCTTTCCTTTCCTTCGCCCTTCCTCCCTTTCTCTCTTCCTTCCTTTTTTCTTTCTTTTGATTTTTTCTTTTGCTTTCTTTTTCTTCCTTCCTCTTTTTTCTCCCTTCCTTCCTCCTTCCCTTTTTTCTATTCTTTCATTTTCTTTTTCCTTCTTTCTTTTCTCTTTTTTCTCCCTTCCTTCCACTTTTCCTTTCTCCCTTCCTTCCTTTTTTCCTTTCTTACTCTCTCTCCTTCTTTCCTTTCTTTTTTCCTTTCCTTCTCCCTTCTTCCCTTTCTTTATCCTTTCTGCTCTTTTTATTTTGATTTTTTTCTTTTATTTTCTTTTTCTTTCTTCCTTCCTCCTTCCCTCTTTCTCTCTCTTTCTTTCCTTCAACTAAAAACTGCTCAGTTTTGTTATGGCTGGAAGGGGACGAGCAAGAGAAACCCACATGGTGTTATATAATACGTGGCCACTTCTTGGCTTTAGCAATGTCAAAAACATTTAATTCCTTAATCTTACCTATGTCAGTTGCTCGGGCTGGCAGAGGCCTCCGCCACTGGGTAACAAATTTGTATGCATCCAGCCTGATTTCAATGATATTGTTTAACAAAGCCAAAAGAGGGGCCAGAGGAAAAGCAGCAACAAATATGGTGGTAAAACCAAATTGCAAAACTGTAAAGGAAGAACATTAAAAAATTAGTAATAGAAACAGTATAATTTATTGATGTCTTTGTTGTGCAATATTAAGTAATTTATATAGATTGCCTTTAATCTTTACAATATCCCTACAAGGTAAATATGTTTATCCCACTTCAGAGTGGAGAAAATGATAGTTCATATGTGTTCAGCAAACTTGCTAAATGGTAAATAGCTAAAAAAAATGTTAAAACCTAAATTCAAACTCAGTCAATAGGCTGAAAGCCTATGTTCTCTTAACCTCTGTACCATGCAGCGTGAAGGAGGAGTAAAGACAAAAGAAGAGATCAAAGGGAGCCTTGGAAACTGCTTAGCTCTACAAGAGACCCAAGAGACCTAATCCTGTCCTCTTTTTCTTCCAGATGAGGAAACTTAAGTCCAGAGAAAGAGCAAATGTCAAGATAACACACTGTGATTTTAATAATTGGGATGTAAATATTTATTTTTCAAATATAAGTATGCTTCTTTAAGAAGCCAAGACTCAGACTAGGTCTGTGCAATGGCTTATTGTGAGAAAGAACTATTACTTTATTTTGGCTGATAAATATTATAAGGACAAAATGTGGTAGACTTCTAAGGACACTTCTTTAATATCTTCTCTAGTCTGTTGAGATAAAGGTGCTGATGTGTTTAGAATGCTTGGCTTAGAAAGGAGAGATATGATTTTCTCTTGAACCAAAGACTGCATGAAATAGAAAATTAGTAACAAGAAGTCCAAATACTTTGGCAGAAGAATCTTTCCTTACCCATTTCTAAATACTCATCCATCAAGCCATGAATATTCATGGGCTGCAGATTCCAATCATTTTCCCACTGAGGTATAGAAGCGTCTTGTATTCCTCGCTTGATTTTATGTCGTGACCACCAGTTCTGGATCAACCTACACCATAAAGCAGACAAAGAGCTTTTGAGCTCTTACTTAAGTATTTGGTGAACAATTCATAGCGTATTAACATCAACTACCCTGGGACTACACTTAGCAGACCTGGAAACTGAAGATATTTGTATGGTCTCATCTTTCAAGTTTAGCATGGGAGAAAAGGTCTCAGCCCTCCAGAACTCTCCCAGATCCTATAAACATCTACATATTTACCTAGGAATTGATCCCCCTATACACTTAGATGCTTCCTGATATTGGTTAGACAGACATCTGTTTCTATGATTGCTTCCCATACCCCATCTATATAAATACTTGAACTCCTATGTTGCCTGCTGTGATTGCATCTGAGCCCTTCATTTCCCATAACCCCAAATCTTCTGGGCTATGCTTTCCGAATGTGAGTATGATCATGTTCCACATTAAAAAAATGAGACCTAGATAGGATTTCAAGACATGTAGTTTCTAGTTCCCACCCTGCAAAACATTAAGTGTGTGAGTTTTAGCAAGTCATTTCATCTGAGTTTATAAAAGGAAGGGTTTGGGCATCAGTGATTACATTCTGCTACTAGAATGAACAGTAATTAACAGGCAATGGGTCTGTGTCAGAGTTCATTTCTCAGATTTGGAAAGAAAGTAACAGCACTCTTGCCCTAGTCCAGGGGAAGTGCTGAAATTATATGACTCAGAAATATCCCAGTACATACATATTGTGGACTTTTCGGTAATGAATTATTTTGAGTTAGATGAAAAGTGTTTCTAAGATGAGGTAACTTTAAAAGGATTCAGTGAACAGTACACAACTCTCAGTTTCAATGAATGGACCTAGAACTTCAGTGGGAGTTAAAAGAACCATATGTGGACCAAATATCAGGCAGTACTTCGATGTGTCCCATGGAGGCTGCTCTGGGGCCCCATGAAGATAAAAAAGGGGGTGGAAGTTGTAATTGAGTCAGGTTTGCTTGTTTCTTTTCCATTTATTGCTTGGAAGATTTTACTTGGAAGAAAAAGAACTGTGATTCAAAAGTTTAAAATCATTGCTTTAGTGACTGGCTTACCCCTGCTAGATTTTTTTCAACAGTGCCTTTGCTCAACTAGTGCGCAAACACCAATAGGATGTCCTTTGCCAAGGTACCCTTGGTATTTGATATGCATAAGTCAAGTTGACCATTGGACAAGGCCATGGTGAAAGTGTTCTGTCCAAAGCATGTGGTGTGTACAGAAGTCCAGGAAAATGGTAATAAAAGAGTTATCCTTAACACTATAACTAGTATATTATCTTGATGGTGCTTATGAAGTACTCACAGCACATCAGTTCCTGTGCTAGGCACTCCATATATAATTTTCTCAGGTATTTCAAAATAATATTTCCCAACCCTAAGTTTCAAAGAGATGAGACAATGATAGAAAGGGATATGAAGAATAGACTAGGCTCCCAAATCCTCCATCCCTTATTCTCTCTTCAGTTAGAGTAGATTCATTTTAATCTGGTATGAATATTGAGAATTTGTATAAAAATCTCTTCACAAAAGTGTTCTGTCATTTACTGAAGGTTAATGAGCATTGGGTCATCTCAGTTAATCTTCATAAATTCCTTACTTTACAAATAAAAATAATAAAGTCTCATTGAGTTCAAGTAAATTATAAGCATCTTTAGCAAGGGGTAGAGAAAGAATTTGAACAAGGTCTTGGTACTTTCATACTAAGGCTGCTTGTAATGTAACACAATACTTCATGGCGGATTTCAGGATTCAAGTCACCACTCCAGCCGCAAGGTCTCTGCTGAGAAATGTGCCAGTGCCATTTGTGGGCCAGCAGGGGGAAAGAATCATGCTATAATTTGATGACTAATTCTAAACTATTTATATCATCTATCAACTAACCAGTTCTTCCCCATAGTCAGGAAATTCTTCAGAATAGTCATGTTTTTAACTTTGGCCCCAAAGCTTCTATACTAAATTGTTTAAAATACATTTTATTTTACTATATTCTGAAGCATAACCTATTTAAAAATGTAAAAGTGGGGATTCAGCACCCTTCCATGTCAGCATTTCACAGACAGTTAAAACTTATCTAAGGGACAAAAGAATGGTATTGATTTGATGTTGTCACAATCAATCTTGCTCTGATGATTTGTGTGTTATGTGTGTGTGTGTGGATCAAAGAGTACAAACCTCCTCTATCCATCAATTTATCTTTGTTTTATTCTTTTTTGGGGGGGGATAGAAATGGAGTCTATAGAAAATAACAATAATTTTGGATTTCTGATAGTCAAAATAAATCAGAAAGTTACTTTTATCTTCAAGAACCTGTACTTTCAATTGTTTTAAGAACAGCAGATGTCTTAATGTGTTGAACAAAGTACCAGTTACTCTACATCTATTATTTCCTTCAGTTCTTACAACGATTCTGGAGGTGGATATAGCTGTTGACCCTGTGTAGAAATGTAAAAACCGAGTCTCAGAAAGGTTTGTTCATGTATACACAGTCACACATTTAGTGAGGAGCAGAGTGAGAACTGGACCCTCATCTGACTGCCAAGCCCAAGTTCTTAAGAACTATTCACACTACCTCTGTCTTCTTTGTAACTGTGTATAAGGCAATTTTACAAATAAAGTGCTCACGGGTATCCCAGTTCCATGAAGTTGTTCCATATTTGCTTCAAAAACATGATAACTCCCATCTGCAGGCAGAGGTCTATCAAGCAGCCACTCGGATGACACTGAAACAGGACAAGAGCAATAATGATCTTGGCCTTCTCAGGGGGCCCGAACATCCCCACCTTCAAAGTGTAAAGCAAAATCTAAAACCCGGTCACATGATCACCATGCATATAGAAAATAAAAACAGACTAGAAATAGCATGGATGAGGACACTTGATAGGGGAGTTTTCAGGATTTACATTGGAATTTTAATCAAAAGTAGAATAGCAATAACAACAAATCTAACTTTTAATTAGCACTTACTACTGCCAAACTCTGTGTCAGGAATGGTTACCTTTAATGGATGTTCTGGAATACTACATATTTTTTAACAGGAGATAGACAAGTATTTAATTCTATGGGAAAATGTTTATAACATGTTCTTTTAAAATGAACTTTTTTATATCAGAAAATATTAAATTTGTAGACAATTTGTAAAGATAATACAGAGTTCCCACATAACCCTCACCCAATTCCCTCCATTGCCTCTAATATTGTCAAGGTACATTTGTCAAAGCTAAGAAGCCAACATTAGTACATTCCTATTTAGATTTCAGCTTTTCAATTTATATCCTTTTGACCCAGATACCTTAATACATATTTGTCATGTCTCCCCAGTTGCCTCTGATTTAGATAGTTTCTAAGTTTTTCATATCCTTGAAAATTTTCTAATTAGGGTGACATTAGTGCACAAAACTATACATATTTTAATTGTACAACTCAATTAAACATCTTCATCCTGCACCCATCACCCCAAGCAAAGTCTCTTTCCATCCCCTCCCCACCCCCACTTTGCCCGCCTCCACCTCCACCCTTCCCTTCCGTCTGGCTATCACCACACTATTGTCTGTGTGTGTGTGCACGTGTGTGCGTGTGTATAAATTTAAAAAAAAGTTCTACCTCTTAAAAACAGCATTAGAAACCCACACAAACAAAAATATGCCTATAATGAAAATTGCAATCAGTGTATTTTGTTTGAAAACTATGCACTACAGAAAACATTTGGGTAGAAAAACGTGGGTGTGTTTCTTTGGAAATGGGTTCATGTCCTACTCACAAAGATGATCAACTCTAAAGCTTTGATCCGGAGTTTCTATTTCTATCAAATCAGTAGCAGTGGGACTTCAAAGAGAACAAATAATTAGGACACGAAGAGCCTGATTTTCCAGTTACAGCTCAGTAATTTAAAACTCCTAATCTGAGCCAGAGAGAGGGGGTTTGGCAGTGGTGGTGTCTATTGTGTGGAGAAGTCTCAGTTTTCCCATCCAAGCATGTCCCTTCTCTCTAGGTTGAATTTAGGATCCTCAGAACTCTGACACGCATATATGATAAGTGGGTCAGTAGAATGTCCAAGGCAGAATAATAACTGAGATACAGAAGCAAAGCAAAGATCACAGTTGCAAGCTGAAACTCGTCATTTTTGCAGAGAGTCTCAAAGGGGCAAATTAACTTGTCCAAGGTCATGCAATGTTGACTGGTGGTATGGAACTAAAAGGGCTGGCCTCCTGTACCCAAATCCGGTGCTTTTCTACATAATGCTAAAGATGAATCCTGTTTACCAACCGTGTTTCCTTGAGGGGTTGGTTTATCAAAGCATATAATTACGCAGGAAAGAAAAACAAAGACTATTATAGAACCCTGTGATTGAATGATTCTCCCTGATAGCAGGCCAAAGTTGGAAGATTGTCTCACAGACCATTTATAATTTTGTTGAAATGAAGCCTTGATGATTTAGTGATTAGGGCAGAGAAAGTTTTTGTGAGTCTACTTCCCTCATGCAATGATTCCTTTCAGCTAATTCTAGTCCTCCATAATCTAAAATTGATTTGGTCAAAAGGTCCAATAGTTAGAACGAGTAAAAGGGCATGAATGAGCATGCAGGAGACTCAGGCTTTCATTCCCATTGCACCACTCAAAATCCTATGACCAAGAACAACCCAAAGTGAGCTACCACCACATAAGTTTCTCATTTGCTCCTCATGAGAACCTGGTGGGATGGGTGTTGACATCTCTATGGTATAGATGAGGAAGCTAAGTAGCAGAGAGGACTATCAGACTCCAGTCAATACCCATGTTCCTTTCACTTTACCCCCTTTATATGTTCATTCTAAATCCAATTTACACATGTGAGCCAGCAATCATTCAGCAATCTCTCATGAAAATCAGTTTCCACTATGTTCTCAAGTGGGCCTGTGCCAACCCAGAAGTGGGTGGAAGAAGAGTGTTCAGAGCACAGACTCTGAGGCTAGGCTGCCTGGATCACATTGGTATCAAGTTGATGGCTTCATCGGTCTATTAGTATATTTCTATGACTGAAGGCAATTCAGAAAACTTCTCTAAGCTTCTGTTTTCTTATATGTAAAATGAGTGTAAGAGTTGTTGTGAGAATTAAATGCTTTAATATATGTAGAATACTTAGAAACAATTGCTGGAATGTGCTGGCATATAGTATGTCCTCGTTAAAAATTAGCTATTATTAGCATTTTATGTAGATTTACATAAATTATTATGTGGGATACTATATAGCATATAAGAGGAAAGTCCAGTACAGCTGTTCATAAATAATCTATATTATAGTACAGTACTTTTTATCTGCCTTTATAATGGCTACCATTATTTGTGCCTGGGATTTTACATGCAGGGTCCAATTTAATCTACTTATCATCAATACTCATATAGAAATTGTGATTTATGTCACAGTTTACAAAATAAAAAAACTGAGATACCTGTAAGACCATGCATTTGGGTGTGACAGAATTAGAATGCATACTATCAGACTCAAAAGACAAAATATTTGTTACATATCCTAGTTATGTTCTTTTCTTCATGACTATCAATATCAAAGAAAGGAAAGGGGCTCCTTCATCTGTATACCACGCACCACCCAGCCAAGGTTTAGAAAAGAGTATGTGTCAATAAATGCTTGTTGTTTCATTGAATTCAGAGGGTCAATTCTTATCTTCCATTATGTGTATTTTTTATATATAGGATTTTTAGGGTTTATACAAACATACATTTTACATTTCACTGACTTTTTCCAAAATAAATAATCCTTTGTTGAAAAATATCGCTCTATCTATGTCCTATATATTGTGGAAAATGTCTAGAATGATTATAAAACATTCTTCCTGACTCTAGTATCATAATTATTTCCTTAGGGTTTTCAAAGAAGAATCATGACTTCCAATAATTTCATAAGAATGTTCAATTAAACAAAACTATTGGTGGCATCAATACACAGATCTACTTGCTTGTAGCCCCTCTGTTCTCCACTCTACCATTGTTAACTCCAGCTGGACACTTCGAACTGGGTAGATGAAAAGCCTTTCAGCAGTTTTAGTCATTCTTCTGAGATATGAAAAAAACTGCATGTTTGATTTGGGGACTTCCCCAAAACGTGGGATTTTGAATGGCCTTAGTCTGTCACTGACTAACAGAATAGTATCTGGGTAGCTGTGGAGATAGAGCATTGATAAATATGAACTACAATTTATAGAGTACCTACCAGAGGCCAGGGGTTGTGCTAATTGTGTTATGCAAATTATTTCTTGTCTATGAACAGCTTAGCAACCTAAGAATTACTATTGCCAATTTGCAGATGAGAAAGATAGTCAGAGAGGTTAAATTAAGGGCAAAGAATTAATAAGAAGCAAGGTTAGCATTTGAGCCCAGTTTTCTATAATATAAAGCATATGTTCTTAGAAAGTTTTAGGCTTTCTCCTTGTAATTTTCTCAGCATGCCTGAAATTCCCTGTACCTACCTTTCTTCTCTTTCTCTCTCTCCCTCTCTCTCTCCACCCCCCTTTCTCTCAGTCATTGGCCCACATCCATGCATATCCCCACACCCACCCCTACAAGGTACTTACTTCCTCCAGTCTCCACCGGTTAAAAAGTTTATTGTAATTTCCTGGGTGGCCTACAAATCTGTAAAAAGACATTTTAATTCATTAGCATTTATGTGGGTTGACTGAAGAACATCGAATGCATCACAAATGCATGTGTGGGGAGACATAAATGTTCATTGGTGCAACTTGTTCCTAAATGGTTGCCTTAGGTCATGCTCACACATCAAAGTGCCGGACATAAAAAGGAAAAAGTGATGTGTGAATTCAATACCAATGCGTTGAGAAAGTACAGACAAACTAACTGAATGAATTTTTCTACTTTCACCTGTAGAGTTTTAGTGTCTGGTTGACCTAGTTATAGAACATTAATGTAATGTGTTAAATAATTTAATTTGAAATGTTTCTAGCTTCAGTATGTTTCCATGGCACTGGCTGGGTATTAATCATATGGCAAACCAGAACCAGTAGTTTAATTTTAATATGCTTTGTTTCCATATTTTGCAGCCAAGATAGGAAAAGAAATGTTAACATGATAGGTAGAGGAAGTTTCTACACTAAGGAACTGGGACTCAGGATTAGGCAAAAATTATTTTCTTATTTAATGAAACCATTACTGATGACTAGAGGGTCATAATTCAACCCATGGCATATAGGTTTTATTTTTTATGTCACCTTTATTGGTAGTGGCAGCCAGAAGTACTATACTGAAATCTTTTGATTGAAAACATGGGAAGGCTGATTAGCCCAGTTTTCCAAGGCTGGGCATAAGAAACTGCCACCTTTGTTAACAAATTGCAAATGAAATTGTTGACAATCTTTTTCACTCTATAGAGTCAATGTGTATAAAACTGACTTACCTCCCCAGAAAGAAAGCGATATAGAAGATGGAACTGTTTAAATTGACAAACTGGAAGAGGAACATCTTCAGGGCAAAACTGTTTTCCCATTCAGATTCTGTCCGCGGATATTCTAAAGGGACACAGGGTGTGTTTACATGGTTGAGGTGAGCAACAAGAAATGTGGATAGAGAATCAGAAGCCCCATGTTTAAGTTCTGGTTCAGTCATTTACTAGTTCTGTGAGGCACTCAGTGTCTCTAAGATCTAGGGTTTGCATCTGTAAAATGTGAGTGAGAGTATCTTCTGTTCAGTGTTGATGAAAGGATCTAATGGGATAAACTGCTGACATCCCCCACAGCTATGAAAATTTGATGCCTGTTATTAATATATAAAGATTTCCAGGATTCTCTCTATTATTGTCACTTAGCAGTAAACATAAATATGAAATCAGTCTTTCACCCTATCTGGCTATTCTCAACATAGTGACCTAAACTGTCACGGAGTTCTTTGAAGGATGAATATTTTGAGCGCAGACTTCAGTGAAATGGTAAAGGAAAAAGAGGGGCTACATTGGGTAGAAGAGCTGAATTCTTATCTCAGCTTTACACCCAACTGCTGGTAATCTCAGGCAGGTCTCCTTACATTTTCTGCAATAAGTTTTATCACCTATGAAATGAGAAATTTAGATAATGTGATTTAAAGAGCCTGTCAACTCTCACATGACATGGTTCTAGTATTCTTAAAACAAAACAAAACAAAACAAGCACTGAGAGAGATTGAATGGAGACAGCAGCATGAACTTCACCCTCTGCTCCTACCCCGTATCCAAATAAATGAAAAAAAAATATATGTAAATCTAACATATTGCAATATAATTGAAGAAGTCAAGAAAGGTATAAAATTAGATGGAATCTAATTTAAGAAACAACCAGGCAAAAATATAGACAGGAGCCAATCACAGAATAAAGAGGAGGTAGGACCCAGGGGACTTCAAGGCCAAAGGCAGTAGGTTCCCAGAACAGGAGGGTCGGTTGGTGTGCTGCAGCAAGAGCACTCAGGAGAGCTGACATTTTCTCACTTCGCACAAATAACTCTTCTGTTTCCTACTATTAGTGATGGTTCCCCAGATCACTCTTTTAGATTTGCTGCCACCCAGGGTATAAAGTACTTTAAAAGAAAATGAATATAAAAAATCAGAGCTAAAAGAATGATTTGAGAAAACCTAGTTCAAGTGTTTCATTATCCAGCTGAAGATACTTTAGCTCAGATCAATGAAACATTACTCCCATTTATTGAGCGTTTGTCCTGTGTTGGCCAACTGACAACAATGGTGAAACGGGAACTGTTTCCTTCTCATTTTTGCCATGAGGAAACTGAGGCTCAGAAAGGGGAGGAGGAGCAGAGGGAAGCGAAGGAAGGGGAGCAGGAGGGCAAAGAATGGGGAGGGGAGAAAACTTGCTCATAATTACAAAATGTCCAAGTGATATTATCATTTAGCTCCAGAGCATGAACTAAGGCCCATTTGTCCCCTCTATACAATGTTTCTTCTATTACTACTTGTCCTTGTAACTACATTTCAAGAGAACTATGTTAGTGAAGTGGGATAGTTATTCCACCATAGTTAAGTGGAGTGTGTCATTATCTGTGTTTAAATTCTACTTATTTAATTATATGGTTTTCTAGTCCTTAAAGTAAGTGTTCTATTGTCATAGAATTGAGATTATAATAAAACAAAATCATGAAAGAGGAGTGTTTAGTAGAGTGCCTGGGACTTGGTGAGTCCTCAAACAATAAAAGATTGCTGCTCAAATAGTTCTTCATTAAAAACTCTCACCCCCAAACTGAGGAACCAAAAATCAAGTTAAAGTATAGAAAAAAATGTATTTTCTGATATACAAGGTCTCAACAAATTTACTTTCCAGGTATCAAGACAAGGAATTAAGCCAAGGGAGATGGTGACATTGGATCTCAAAAGTAGTAACCAAATGAGAAATAAAGGTCAAAAAATATTGGGGGGTGGGGGCAAAGAACTGAAAAGGCAGGGAAAAAAAGTGCTTCAATGTAGGAAGAACCAAGGTTGCTGATTTGTAGTTAGGAGAATTTGTAACTACATACACTGTCTCTGTATGGTTATATGATGTAGTCCAACTTTCTATGCCACTTCTTTCATTTTTATTGACAATTATATTAAAAATACTAAAGCACATAAAGCAACTACAGACTAATATTCCTGTATGAAGTATTCTCTAACTAAGGAGTGAAGAAAAATGGACTTACCTAAATTAGTGAGAAGGTAAGCAATTTTTTCATAAGCCTGTAATAAGAGGACAACAATCACTATTATTGTTTTCTTTAGAAAAGGCTGCTATTTACATATTCAAAGAAGCATCCCTGTATTGTACAAAGTAGCTACATTTTAAGTAGAAGCATCTTTTTAAAGTTACTATGTAGTGCTTTACATATACACATACAATGCATGTAATATAAAAATGTTGTAAATATGTGTACATATACAGTCACACTTGATTTCTGTAATAACAAAGTCTTATTTGGGGGCTATCTTTATTTCCGTTTTATAAATAAAGATGAGACTGAGGAAAACCCTGAAGTAATTTAACTAGTTAATGGCAGGCCTAGCATTTCATGGCCAAATTATACACCCTACTATTACTACACTGGAGGGATAAGTGAAAGCTTGACATTTTTACTGTTGATAAACTATTTTCCAAACTATGACAGTGTACAAATTTTCATTCTTAAGGAACAAAATAGGTTTGGTGGTTATTTGAAACAAGATTCATAAGTCTAATCTTTTGAATCTATGGCAAGCAAGGTACCTGCAGAACAGAATTTTATAAGATTTTTCATCTGCCACCCTCTCCCTGCCCTGACATGATCTGTGCATGACTCATGCAGACTCAAGGGAGAAAACATATTTTATAATATTCCAAGTAAATATAGTTGGGAAAGTGCATTTGCTAAGGATAGAAGGGTAATATGTGTTTGTGCGTACATGTGTGTGCATGTAAATATTACTACATAACCCTATAATTCTACAAATTATTCTCTAGATTATAAATTTCACTAACCCTCTTTGTTGGCATGCAAAATTAAAAGGTAGATATCTAGACACTTTAAAAGTTGTTCACCTTCCCTGCCTGTCCTTTCAATAGGGCTATTGTGATTGTTCATCTTAGCCATGATTTAAACCTACCTCTTCCTAAGATCTAAAGTGTTATCTTGAGACAGAAAGATTACATCCAGTACAATAGTGTCATTCTTTGTCTAGTGTAGGGTTTTTTCTCTTTTCTAACTAAACACACAAGCAAATTTTAAGACAAGGTTAGCTTAAGTTCATGAACACCAAAGTTATTTTGATTGTAAAGTGGTCTTTCTTCCACTCCATTTATCATCAGATGTTTATAGCAGGGTCTCCAAAAAGTGTAAGATAGACTTATATCAATCAATAAACAGTACTTAAGCGGGACTGTGCCTCTAGCACTGAACTGTGTGCCTTACCCTGGGAGTGAAAGAAAACTAAGTATGTGCCATTCAGAGTGTTTGGTTGGTGCCAGGCAGTGCTTTATATATACTATTATTTAAGTTACAACAATTTCATCAATTATGTATAATGATCCTCATTTTACAGAAGAGGAAGCTGAAGTTTAAAGTATCAGGTACCTTGCCTGAGGTAACACTACTAAGTAAGTAACAAAGTCAGAATTTGCAAAGTGGCTCTCCTGTACCATTTATGCTATCCCTCGTCACATAAACCATTTATAGTTTTCATCTTAGTACTTAGCACAAAGCACCTGTCTTCAAGCCTGGGACAGCGATGTCTGCAGCTGATGCCCCAAGGGATGACAATAACATTTGGAAGAAAAGTTATAAATCACAAAAGATGCTTATTCACCTCTGAAAATAGTGCTCTTGGGAAGCTTTCTGGGGTACTTTGGAAAATGTATTTCCCAAGGCCCAGATGCTAGCTGGCTGGCACTGGCATGATGATGAGCCACAAAATCTGTCCAGGCAGAGTGACTTGTCAACTCCAGAACCACCACAAAGTCCAAGAAGAACCATCATGTAAGTATATCCAGCTGTACAGCGTATGACAGCAATCACTTTGACAGGGCAGGTTTTGTGGTGTGTGTGTATGCTAGGGGTGAGAGGGGAGGCACAGCCAGTTTAAGGGATTGGTGACTAAGAAGCAACTGGAGCCGTAGCTACATGGCTCGGTGGGTGGGAGCATTGTCCCGATACGCCAAGCTTGTGTCTTAGATCCCTCGCCAAGGCACATACAGGAATCAGCCAGGGGATGCATGGATAAGTGGAACAACAACTCAGTCTCTCTCTCTCTCTCTCTCTCTGTCTCTCTGTCTCTCTCTCTCAAATCAATCAATAATTTTTTTTTAAGAAGAAGCAACTTGCATAACATAAAATCTAGCCTCTGGTACACCAATGGAAATCTTAGCCAAATTTCAATTTTTGCAATATGAGTGCCTTTTATATGGAATATGTTTGAGGATAAAAGCTCCTATTTTTTTCCAATGCAGATCTGATCACAAGTTCTTTGGTTTAACTAAAAAGAACTTTGTAAGAACTAAGGCCTGAACCCTGGATCTGGAGGTTTTGTTCCAGGAGCCATCATGCTTGTCTTCCCAAGCAAAAGTTAATTAACCACATTTGGCTTCATGTTCTTTTGTCTTCAAAAATATTAGGCAAGTTCATTAATTCACTCAGGATGTTTTCAAAGATCAGTAGGTCTTTGGAACAAATTGTCAAACACAGGAACACAGGAACATAGGGTACTCACTCTCCTGAAGGCAGTAATAAATGATGGGTAGGTGGGGGATAAATAGGCATGAAGCCATTAACATTGATTACTTTCAATGGGTATGATTAGTTTATAGTAGGAACAGAGGTAAGCAGCATGTGGGGTTGAGTCACGTGACTTTTCTTAATTTTTTAAAAGATTTTATTTATTTTTTAGACAGAGGGAAAGGGAGAGAGAAAGAGAGGGAGAGATACATCAATTTATGGTTGCCTCTCACATGTCTCTTACTGGGGATCTGGCCCGCAACCCAGGCATGTGCCCTGACTGGGAATCGAACCAGAGACTCTTTGGTTCACAGGCTGGTGCTCAATCCACTGAGCCACATTAGCCAAGGCAACTTTTCTTAATATTTTTAATATTTTTATTCTGTCAACAATATATGTTCCATAACTTAAAGTTAAAAATAGATAAAAATTATAGATTTTAAAAAGGAGAAAATAAAATTAAGACATTAAAGAGAAACAAGTAGAAACATTAGACATTAGTAGGTAGAATTTCTATATGAACCAATAAAAATTTCAAATTTTCTTATAGTTTAGACATATGTTCGATAAAAAAGACATGATATATGCTGACAATGTATACGTGCTTCTCTTTCCACAGATAGCAAATTGGAAGAAAGTTAAGATTTCTGGAACACCTTCTATGCATCAGAAGTAGATCTTGTTTAACCTTTCAGTTCCCCTATGTATTTCTTTAATCACCCTCAGTTGAAAGATCAAGAAACTAAAGTTCCAAGATGTTACATGGTGTGAGAAGGATCACACAGGTAGCAAATCTCTGCTTGCCTGTGTCCAAGGTCCACTGCCCGTTAGCAGGCACCATGCTGAGAAACTGGCAATGCACATGGATAGAAGCCTGGGCAGAGTTCAGAGGGGCGGAGGGAGAGAGAAAAGAGAACGAGGAACTGTGTGTGTGTGTGTGTGTGTGTGTGTGTTGCCAACCACTGACAATCCTTTTCTCTACCTCTACTAGTGAAAGACAGAATTTTAAGTTACCCACGGTTTCTACTTAGGGGGCTGTGGTTTTATGGATAACTCATATATAAAGTAAAAATAAAGTACATTCCATTTCTAATTTATTCCAAGTTTTACAAAATGGTACAATGTTTTAAAATAATGCTTATTTTTTTCTTATTATAAATCAAAACCTACCTATAGGGATAGATATTTAAATAAACAGAAAATATTACATTAAGTCACATATTACCCCACTACTGAGAGAAAAGCACTGTTAACATTTTCTTGTCATTCCTTATAGTTTCAAAATACAGATATGTTTCAATGAGAATCAAGTCCAATTGCATATAGTTTGTATGTAACTGTATGTCCTAAAATAATGTTAAAATAGCATTTTAGTTGGTTGTATGATTTTCTATAGAATTTGAATTAATTTTTTTATGTTTTTGGTAATTTAGGGAGTCTCTTTCCTATTTTTGCTACTCAAATAATATTATGATAAGAATCTTCTACATAAATCTTGGGCTACAATTATTGATGACTTCTTTAAAATAGAATATCAGAAATTAATATGAAATATGATCTTTTCCTAGTTTTAAATAAAACATTAGCTTATCATAGAAAATCTAGAAAATGCAAATATACATTTAACATTAGACAAAATGTTAAGAAAATAAAAATCACCTATATTTTTCAGAGGTAACTCCTGATAACATTTTGATATATATTTGCAATTTTTATCTGGGTAGCTATAATTGTTTTTTAGTTTGATTCTTGATACTCTCTTTACGACATATATTTTTAAAATCAGGTTTATGTTTGCTCAGAAAGAGTTACATCTTTGTCTAAATTCTGAATTAACTTGTACACAGGAAAACATATTTATTTAAAAGTGAAAAGAACATCATTTTTATAATGGCCTTAGGTGAGATAGTATCACTAGTTTGTAATGCTTATTTTTCAATTTCTTTCATGATCGATTATCTACTCAAGATACCTTCTTTTACTTTAGTAGTTTTGACCATTTAATTTTTTCCCCAGAGTTCTTTCTTTCTTGAGAGTAAAAATGTATTAGCATAGCAATGACACTGTAATATATTCTATTTTAATACCTTTAACATCTATAAATGTATCTGAGAAGTTGATTCATGGCTAATCAAATACCCACATGGATGGCCCCCCACTGCCCACAGAGGGGGAGCAGGAGGGGTGGTGTTTAAATTCCTTATATCACATGCTACTCCAGATCGCCACAGCTAGGCACTGATCTGCTCTTCTAATCTTGTTTTCTTCAATCTTCCATAAAGGTAGTGTCTCATAGACACTTCTCACAATTTCTTCAGGACAAACAACATGCACTTCTGCATCTCTGTACATCTGTAGGTTGAATTCTTCAAATGACAGTCCACTTTTTGTTCATTCTTGGCCCATCAGGGTCTAAGCACCCTCTTTTCTTCCCAGTAGCCTTCTGATCCGCTATCACAATCCCATCACCTCATTTCAGATGCAATCAATGACTTCTTTCCCATCTTACTCAGGTTCTTTCATGCTTTAACTACGAGGCAGTCATCATTGCGCCTTGAGTCTTATTTTCCTCCTGGTTAATAAGATGATGTACAGCAGCTCTACGACCAGACATTTTGATATCAACCCACTTACTAAAGGTAAGAAGTGAATTCAATTTAAGGTCAGGCTGGCTGACTGCTAGTGTTACCTAGAAGTAAACACATCAACTACTTAGCCTCCTTTTCCTCAGAAAAGGGGGCTAACCACAATAACCCTCTGTCTATTGGAAAATTGCCATGATATACTGATTTTGTTAGAAATAAGATCTTTCGCTATCTACCATAAGAGTATTATCATTAGTACTAAACAACTGTAATGTCTACGTTATGAGAGGTTCTTCTCCAATGTGGTGACTTTGTGCAATGCACCACCTATACTACCATATAAGCCTCCCAGCCCTGATGTTGTATTAGTTTTCAGTGTTTATTTTTCACTTTAATATATAAGCCAAGGGCATAAATTAAAATACTGCATGGCTTCTTTCAAGATACTGTAAATAATATTCTCTTTCTACAAATTAAAATGAACTGAAGAAGGCAGACACCAGTAGAAGATATTAACTATCATCCTTGCATTCAAACTTACTCATTGATTACATTGACTATTTACTTTTCTGTCAAGGCCTTCCCTGATTATTTTAAAGTTAAATAACAAACAGTCCTAAACCTCTCCAGGCTAAGCATGTACCCCTAGTGTCAATTCACATTTGAAACTAAATGCTTATGGCTTGTATATAATATCAACACCATTATTTGAGTATTGGTTATCTACCTGAATTATCTCATGACGTCAATACATTAGCAGCACTAACACTACATGTATAATTGGGGAAAGTTATTTAAGCTTTTCACATTTCAGTTTCCCCATTACATAATGGAGAGAATATATTGTCCTGTGGTGGTGTTGGGAGAATTAAAGATATTATCCTAAATGTGTTGATCACAATGTCTTCTGTTTTCAGACCCAGAGAAAATGGACCCTCATCCATAGACCTTGCTGAAGAGGAAGGCCTAGGCCTAATGTTGCCCTCTCAGCCATAGACAATGGTTCACAAGTCATACAATGTATGTGATGTTAAGATCAATCAGATGCTGTCTTTGAGAAATTAGCACATTGAAATAACTGAATGAACCACATGAAATGAACTACAGAAATCTGACCAACATGGTTATGTAGTTAGAGCCAAAGAGGAAAACTAAGTGCCCATCAATAAATGAATGGATCAAAAAAACTATGATTCATTTACACAATGGAATACTATGCGGCAGAAAGAAACAAAGAGCTACTACCCTTCATGACAGCATGGATGGAACTGGAGAGCACTATGCTAAGCGAAATAAGCCAGGGGGTGAAAGACAAATACTATACGATCTCACCTATAGGTGGGGCCTAATCAACAAAACAGACAAGCAAGGAAAATATAACCAGCAACATTGAAAGAAAAAACACTGACAGTAATGAGAGGGAGGAAGGTGGAGGTAACGGGAAAAGAAGAGGAAGGGTCAAATCAAGGAACGTTTACAAAGGACCCATGGACAAAGCCAAAGTGGGGAAGGACTGAGGGTGGGAGGTGGGGGTGGTGGGGCAGGTGAAAGTGGTGGTGGGAAAATGGAGACAAATGTATTTGAACAATAAAAGTAAATAAATTAATGAATACATAAATAAAGAAAACACAGACTTCTTCCTTTTAGTACTTATTGAAAAATTGTAAACACTTACAAGGTTCAGGGCCATGATGATTACAAAATTGATACAGACAGCAGCTGCAGATGTTGCAAACTGCCAATGTTGTTTGATGAAATTCCACTTGAATGATGCAAACTGCTCCATGACAACCAGGCGATATACCACAACCGCAAACACTGCAGTGATCACCAGAGAAATCTACAATACGGGAGACCAAGAGGCGGCAACCGTATTTTGCATCATTAACAAAACAAAAGCAAAACCATTGATCTAATACACTGCCCCCAGGAGCTAAAAAAATTAATTTTTCTAAGAAAGTATACATATTTAATTTTTTCCATTAAGGAACTAAGTTATATTGTAGTCAAAATAAATAGTGTAAGATTTAAGTTGTTGTAGTGTGATAAAGTTATCACACTAAAATGAAAATTTTGTTCAATTTCCACTTTTACATGGAATACTTGGTTTTAAAACAAGATAACTCATTAATCAGGGCAACTCATATAGTTTCCATTGTACCTTATTAGATGAACTTTGTTTCTCCCAGAGTGTTTTACCTAAGAATCTGCAGAAACGCCCTTGGCAATTACTCCATGACCTGCTGTGATTTTTAGTTTGTTTAACAGTGTGTATCGCCAAAGCGTTGAACAGGATGTGGTTCCTTGCACCATCAGGGTCACAAAATGAGCTAGTGACTACCCTAGAATTTCCTTTTAACTCTGGAATCCCACAACATCCTGATAGTAATGGTGATACTTTACCATGAAGAATATTCCTGAGATAGAAACAAGAAGACGACTGACTTTGTCTGACGAAGGCTGATGCGGCTCAGGTTTTCCGCTGATGGGATTCACTCTCTCCATCTTGTAATACTTTGCTTCGAACTGGGGACGAAGTGTTTCCTGTGAAAGAAACTTAAAGTTACCTAAATATCAAAGGAGAAAAAAATTAAAATATCTAAGAATTGATACAAAATTCCTGCATTTTGGCCTATTTTTATATCAAGCCTTGGCAAAGAAGCAGCTTCTTAAAAATAAGAGACAAATTACTTTCCAAGTAAACTCTGAACTCTATGTTAATTAGCCCAATTTTCCACTGATGTAGTTTAAGTAAATATCATAGAAATGCTTTGAAAAAAAAATTACATTACCTCATCATTGATCTCTTTTACCTTCATTAAATAACAAGCCTTGTTAGTAAAAAAAAAAAATCAAGAAAAAAATCTAATGGTGTTTAGTTGCTTTTGATTTATATGTTAAGGGCAGTGAGTAATTTTCTGCATAATTTGTCATCCCGGTTTCCTTATCTGCTGTTTTCCTAACATCCTACCTCCTCCTCTTCCCATTCAATGAGATCCCAAGTATAGGTCAGTGTACTTCTTCTTCTTTTCCAAAACTCCAGGAAGACTGTGGCTAGAAATAATAATATTACCATTGTTATTATTATAATGCACCAAACCACATTACATTCTTTCATCCTTGCTTTTCTTCTTTGGATTGATGCATTTTTTTTTACCATATTATGGAATTATTAAAATTACTTAAATTCATAGTAAATTCATGTAGTTGGAATTTTGTTTTCTCTCACCCCATTCTCCCTTTCTCTCTGCACATTGCTATCAGTGTGCATTCCTAGAGGGGAAGTAAATTTTTTCATTGGATTAAATAAGCAGACTTTTGGTAGCACCACCTATCAACATGATGCTACAAGAGAAGGTCAGTAGTAGCAACAAAATATTTGTTTCTTTTGATTTGTACATGCATGTTCAAAATCATCTAAAAGACCTAGGTAAAGTCTTCTCCAGGAATGACAATAAACGCCAGGTACTTCTTCTCCGGGATTCAGAGAGGGATAAGGTTGGAGAGTGAGAGGAAAAGAGTGAGGCTATCATGCCTCAGGCAACTTTTGCTCAGCAAGCTGGGTGCTATGCATTAGCCTGAGCTTGCAATCTGGCCAAAGGTATGATGGTTAACACTTATACTGACACCAGGTACTCCTTTGGTGTTGTCTATTGCATTGGTATGCTCTGGAAACAGAAATTCTTGACTTCTTTCACACAAAAGATTTTAAAAAACCCAGTTCTTATGTTTTAGAACTCTTAAAGGTTATCCAATTACCCAAATCTTTAGCAACCATGAAATTTCTTGGACATTCAATGGCAAATACAAAGAAACGTAGTGGTAATCACTTGTTTACCACTGCTGCTAAGTTAGCAGCATTAAAACAATCACAGCCCTTCCCTGGCTGGTACAGCTCAATGGATTGAATGCCGGCCTGTGAACCAAAGGGTCACTGGTTTGATTCCCAGTCAGGGCACATGCCTGGGTTGTGGGCCAGCAGTTGGGGGAGCTTGAGAGACAACCATACATTGATGTTTCTCTCCCTCTCTTCCTCCATCCCTTTCTCTAAAAATAAATAAATAAAATATTTTAAAAAATCTCAGGCCCTAATGGACACATCTCTTCCACCAGCTGAAGCAATTGGGGATGTAACACATGACATTATGGAAGCACAGCATTAGCTGTTCAACAAAACAAAGAGAAATGGTTAGAAAAAGGCTATAAATTTGGCTCTAAAAGATGGGTAAATCCAAATGACCGACTGTTCCCCTCGGTTGCATACAGTATCATATGCAATGATATGTATGTGACTTAAATCATTGACTTTCAAAGTGGTTTCTTGGCAAAAAATTCCACTTGAAACCCAGCTTCCCAGGTATACAAAAAGAAAAGAAAGCCAGATTTGCCTAGGGTACCACCCTGGAAAATGCATTCATACCTTGTTGGGCAATTTCTCTTATGTTTAAGCCCCTTTCAGGCCTGGCAAATGAACTTTTTTTGGTTGCCCTCTTCGAGGATACAAATATGTGTTAGTAATAATTTGTCTGTTTTCTCCTTGGGTGAAAGCATTCCCACGCCACAGAGCCACAGCCTCAGCAGTAAGTTAACTCCTAGAAAAGCTTTCCTATCTGGGATATCCCCTCAGAGGGCTGTAGTGACTAGGGAACTCAGAGCACAGCACACGTTATGTAATCTATTTGTAAGACCTGGCTGATTTTGAAACATTTCCATTGTGCATGCCATCCCCAGTTCTGCGGTCTCATAGAGGAGACTAAAGCGATAATCAAAACTCAAATACCATATGATCTCACCTATAAGCGGAACCTAACCAACAATGCAAAGAAGCAAGGAAAATATGACCAGCAACACTGAAAGGAAAAGAAATCAACAGAGACAAGAGGGAAGGGGGGGCAGGGAAAGGGAAGGGAAGGGGAAAGTCAAGGCACATATAGCAAGGACTCATGGACAAAACCAAAGGGGAAGAGCTGAGGGAGGGAAGATGGGAGGTGGCAAGGGAAAGAGGTAGGGGGAAGGCAGAGACAAATGTATTTAAAAAGTAAATAAATTAATAAAAAAAAAAAAAAAACTCAAGTAGCAAAACTGGTGGAGCCTTTTAGTCTGCCTTGACCTAGGTTTCTACCCTTGGTATTGCTCAACCTAAGATTTACCCTTTTCAGCAAATGTAGACTGTCTACTTTTGAAAGTATTACCAGAAGACCCATGAGATTAGATCAAGGAATGTATGAACCCGCACTGCTGAAAGGAGACCTATTGATTTACTGTAAAGAACCCGGACGGCCCTTCAAACTAGCTCCGAGCTCCTAGAGCAATCTTTCCATTACACACATCTGGGAGACAGAGATCCTACGTCATGATCTCCAACCTGGAGATGATGTCTATTAGAAATGCCATCTCTGGAAAGATGCCCTTCAGCCCTGATATGGAAAGGGCCATGTCAGGTATTCCTAACTAATCCTTGTGCCACGACACTGAAGGGTACTGCCGCATGGACTCACGTTTCTCATTTTAAAAGGACACCCACGCCTGAGTGATCATCTCAGCCTATTGGAGATCTTAAATGGAAAATCTCTAAACAACCCAACACCACCACCAGAATTCCCATTCCAGGATCACAGCAGATGGCACCTGATGTAGGTGCCTCTCCCAAGACCGCAGACCAGGGAAGTCACACATGATTCCATCCAGCAGCTCGTACTCTTGGTCTTCCTTTTGACCACAATTTAAAGTCCTTTATTTTCAAGCCTCTCTGATAGGTAAATGTGTGTGGTCTACTTACAAATACAGTGAGAAAAGCTGGAGCCTAACCTAAACTAGGAAGCTCTTGTTCCCTCTAAATATACTCAAAATCCAATAATACACACTGAGATAAAACACAACATAGCCCTAAGTCATCAGCAAGATTTATCCCACTGGCTTACATTTTGCCCTCTGGATTAAAGAGTATAACTGAAAAATAAGTTATAGGTTCTAAATGTGAGATGGTGGACTAAAAGTTTTAAGGCCTCCATTAAAGTCATTTTTCTTTCACCCAGAAGAGTATTATGAATTTAACCCAATTCTTGATAGAAGAGGATAAGAAAAAGCATTGAACTGGTAGCTAGTTGAGGATTGAGTAATGGGTATGAAAATGTCAAAAAGAAACAGGAATCTGTCAAAGACTCCATAAATTAGTGACTTTAAGAAAAGTATCCATAAACCATGAAAGTGGCAAGCAAACATCTGTCATTTTGTTAAAATTGGTGGTGAAAAGGTTGGTATGCGTAGTTAACAACTCTGGGATCCGGGCTGGACAAGGTGGCGTCTGAATCGAGAAGCAGGCTGAAAGAACGCAGGCGCATTAATGACAGAGGCCCAGGCAGGCTCTAGCAAGGCTGAGGAGGTGGGGGTGGGGGAGGCGGGGAGAAGAGCTGGACAAGTGAAGCAAGGGGATTTATTTAGTTTAACATCTTAGAGCTTGAAAAATATCCTAATGCCATGCTCCACCTCAGAGCAATTAAACCAAAATCTCAGGATAAAAGCCAGCATCAGTATGTTTTTAAAGCTCCCAAAGACTTCCAGGGTGCAGCGAATGCTGGTCACCGGCGCCTGGAGGAAACACAGTTGTGCTCATGAAGGAGATGGAATAGAAATCAGTCACAGTCACTGAGGCAGTAGAACGTTAATTGTTTAAGGTCACCCTGTCAGAAATAATTACTTGTTTCATTCTGATTTCCAATTATTTGTAAAGAATTTTAACAATCATTGTAGATACATTACTTTTAATCTCTATTAAGGTCATTCTCAAAAGTTAACAAAAATATGAATGACAACGACATATATCAAGGGCATGTGAAATGTGCCTTAAAATGGCTATTGTTGTTACTCCATTTTTTTTTTTAAGATTAGAAATTTAGGGTTTTGAGAGATTAAGTGACTAGCTTAAGTTGCACAGCTGATTGGACCCTAAATCATTTTTAACTCAAAAATTTGTACTGTTTATACCATACCATAGTGCCTCCCTGGATGGCAATGGATGGAGTTGAGACTGCAAATGCTAACAGGTAGGAATGGGAATTTGAGAGCCAGCTGGGAGAGTCTTCAAGAAAGGAGTATCCTGGAGACAGCAGATATGAAATGGAGAGTGCTGGAAGTTAAAAAGCATAAGGTTGAAGGAGGGGACCATGTATGTACAGCAGGACAAAGGACAATGGCTGGGACATGAGTACAGTGGCAGAGGCTGTGGGGTGGTGAAGAGGAAAGGAAGCATATTAAAATAAAAATGCTTTAAAAATTAAGTGTATAAAGTGACAGCCATTTCACTTACAAAGCATAAAGTGCCAACAAACGTAGGTGAAGTAATAGAAACACTTCTATAATATGTAGGTACATATAATATATCAAATATGTAGATTCTATATCAGATTAGATATATTATAGAAATAGATACATGATATCCAAAAGAATATACACTAAAGTGTTAATACTAATTATGTGTGTGAAGTGGATTATGGGACACCTTCTACAAAAATCGACATTGTCTAAGAAGTATCCACGCATATGTTCTTTTTATTATTCTATGAGGAAAGTTTATCAACTCCTTCCCTCAGTTTCATGAAACTGGCTTGAGGGTGGAGTTGGAGGATAAGAGGCTTCCAGTGGAGAAAGGCTTTTTGTTATTAGGGGAAGGCCAGGTTTTACATGAGTCATGGAGGCAGAAGGAGTATTGTGGAAAGGCTGAAGATGATACTTTCTAATTCTGTTCCTTGGCAACCATACATTGTATTAAATTTTTTATTCTTGCCATTCTGACTATAATAACAAATTTTTCCAACTTCGAAAAAAATCCAAGATGCACATACTACATCCAGTCCTGGTGCTTTCATTTCCTCCTGTCTATTTCCAGTGGCTTCCTTTGTGATTGCAAGCCAACGGCACAGAGTAAGAGAATCACACGGTCATGCCTGTGAAAGACGTTAGATTCCATATGTGGTTTGTTCCAAGTTATTTATTTTAAATTGTTTATAGAAAACAAGGCTCTGACTGGCTGACATGTATCACTGACCTTGTCCAGA